GTGCCAAGTTTGGTCCTTATTGGAAATTGGATGATGGTTGCAGTGGTCTCAGGAATTGAGCGAAGATACTGCAAGTCCCATAATCCATGCTCGATCCCACAGTCAAACCACACCATGGTGTAAAGTGGGTCATGAGAGGTCTATGTGCCAAATTTGGTGTTGTTCAGTCATTGTTGAGGGTCGCAGCAGTCTCGGAAAGCGAGTAGAGGTACTTCAAGTCCCATCATCCATGGTCCATCCTCCTCCAAACTGCAGTAGGATGTAGAGTGGGTCATGGGGGCTCTGTGTGCCAAGTTTGGTTTTGTTTGGACATTAGATGAGGGTTGCAGCAGTCTTGGGAAGGGAGTGGAGGTACTTCAAGTCCCATCATCCATGGTCTGTCCTCCTCGAAAGTGCACCAGGATGTAGAGTGGGTCATGGGGACTCTGTTTGCCAAGTTTGGTCTTGATCAGTCATTGGCGAGGGTCGCAGTGATCTCAGGAAGCGAGTGAAATGATTGCAAGTCCCATCATCCACTGCCAAATTCTTCCAAACCGCACCAGGATGTAGAGTGGGTCATGCAGGCTCTCAGTGTAAATTGTGGTCCTGATCCATCATTGTTGGCAGTTGTAATGGTTTTAGGAAGGGAGTGCAGGTATTGCAAGTCCCATCGTCCATGGTGCATCCTCCTCCAAACTGCACCAGGATGTAGAGTGCGTCATGGAGACTCAGTGTGCCAAGTTTGGTCTTTATCGGTAATTGGATGAGGGTTGCAGTGGTCTCAAGAATTGAGCAAAGGTACTGCAAGTCCCATAATCCATGGTCCATCCTCCGCCAAACCACACCAGGACGTAAAGTGGGTCATGAGAGGTCTATGTGCCAAGTTTGGTCCTGATCAGTCATTGGATGAGGTTAACAGCGGTCTCAGAATGTGAGTGATGGTACTGCAAGTCCCATCATCCATGGTTCATCCTCCTCCAAACTGCAGTAGGCTGTAGAGTGGGTCTTGTGTGCTCTGTGTGCCAAGTCTGGTCTGTATTGGTAATTTTCTGACAGAGCCCCTGGCCTTTCCTTTCCTCTCTTTGTCATCTCGGAATCTTGGAATTGAGGCTGGCCAATCAGAGACCATATGCAAATTTCCTTCTGTCATGTCCCTTTTTCTGTCATGAACCCTTTTCTCCACCAGGGGCTCCTGTTGAAGCAGGCCAATCAGGGATCATATGCAAATAGCACCACAGCAGCAGCCAGTCAGAATCTTGGAACTTTCAGGCTGGCCAATCAGAAAGCCGGCACATACACCGCCACACATCCGCCGCATACAAGTTTTGACTTTTATTATATACTAGCTTGGGGACCCGGCGCTGCCCGGGTTATTTGAGAAAGGAATTGTGTATCAAGGTTGGTCTTTATCAGTTATTTATATGCCTCGCAGAGGCCTTAGAAAGTAGTGAAGTTACTGTGAGTCCCATCATCTGTGGTCCATCCCCCTCCAAACTGCTCCAGGATGGAGAGTTGGTCATGGGGGTTTTGTGTGCCAAGTTTGGACTTGATCGGTCATTAGATGAGTGTTGCAGAGGTCTTGGGAAGTGAGTGGAGGTACTTGAAGTCCCATCATCCATAGTCTGTACTCCCCCAAACCTCACCAGAATGTTGAGTTGGCCATGGGGGCTCTATGTTCCAAGTTTGGTCTTTATTGGTTTTTGAATGAGTGTCGCTATGGTTTCAGGAAGTGAGTGAACGTACTGCAAGTCCCATCACCCATCGTCCATCCTTCAAACAGCACCGGGATGTAGGGTGGGTCATGGGGGCTGTGTGTGCCAAGTTTGGTCTTGATCGCTCATTAGATGAGGGTTGCAGCAATCTTGGGAAGGGAGTGGAGGTACTTGAAGTCCCATCATCCATGGTCTGTCGTCCTCCAAAGTGCTCCAGGATGTAGAGTGGGTCATTGAAGCTCCATGTGCCTAGTTTAGTCTTGATGAGTCATTGGCGTGGGTCTCAGTGGTCTCAGGAAGTGAGTGAAGTGACTGCAAGTCCCATCATCCATTGTCAAATTCTTCCAAACCGCACCAGGATGTAGAGTGAGTTATGCGGACTCTCTGTGTAAATTGTGGTCCTGATCCATCATTGTTGGCAGTTTATAATGGTCTTAGGAAGGGAGTGCAGGTATTGCAAGTCCCATTGTCCATGGTGCATCCTCCTTCAAACTGCACCTGGATGTAGAGTGCGTCATGGAGACTCAGTGTGCCAAGTTTGGTATTTTTTGGTAATTGGATGAGGGTTGCAGTGGTCTGAAGAATGAGCATTGGTACTGCAAGTCCCATAATCCACGGTCCATCCCCAGCCAAACCACACCAGGACGTAAAGTGGGTCATGAGAGGTCTCTGTGCGAAGTTTGGTCCTGATCAGTCATTGGATAAGGTTAACAGCGGTCTCAGAATGTGAGTGGTGGTACTGCAAGTCCCATCATCCATGGTTCATAGTCGTCCAAACTGCAGTAGGATGTAGAGTGGGTGATGGGGGCTCTGTGTGCCTATTTCGATCTGTATTGGGAGTGTTCTGACCCAGGCCCCGGCCTTTCCTTTCCTCTCTTTCTCATCTCGGAATGTTGGATTTGAGGCTGGCCAATCAGAGACCATATGCAAATTTCCTTCTGTCATGCCCCGTTTCTGCCATGAGCCCTCTTCTCCACCAGGGGCTCCTATTGAAGGTGGCCAATCAGAGACCATATGCAAATAGCACCGCAGCGGCAGCCAATCAGAACGCTGCCACATACTCCTTCCTCTGTCCGATACAAACATTCTCTTTTATTATATATATAGATATAGATATTGTCCATTGTTTATATTCAGTCAAATTGTGTATTGCTTTGATTATCTGTAATTCTATTTTATGTGTGGCACCTTGAGTGCTTTGTTACCTGCTCCGAGTCTCTTCAGGGAGATGGTGGCAGGGTACAAATAAAGTATTATTATTATTATTATTATTATTATTATTATTTATTCAGACATAATTTGGTCTAGGGCCCATTCATTTTCCTTTTTCGCAGTTCATGGTATCTGTAGACATCTTCTCCAGCATCACATTTTAAATTACTTAAATGATCTAGACTCATGTTACTGAAGAACCACCTAGATCAGCCTTAGGAGATCTGTCCTCCTTTCCCACACTATGAAAAAAAAGGTATTGATGGCCCCATATTTGAAATTATCTCCCCAAAGAACTCCATCAAGACTTCTCCAACTGCTCTGAGGCAGACCAGGTAGATTTAAATGATAAGCTTGTCTGGGGGATTTTACGCCAGTTTAATGTACATTTTAACATATATTTTGGCAGAGTTGATTTTTTAAAATGTAATTTGTTTTTTTTAATGTTTTTGTAAAGCTGTCCTGGGAGGAATTGCTTCTTACAGTGCAATTTAGGTGTATCTTCTGTCTCTCTCACTTTTCCCTTGCTTGCCTTTTGCAATATGGGCATGTACACTGTTTTAATCAAGACATTAAAAAAGCAAAATGTTTTCTTCTTTACAGTGAAGTTTTAGCTATTGACTTACCAAAATAATTTACCGTGGTTTATCATAGCATACAGGGTTATATCAAGCATTACATTAACAGAAAATGTAAAATGTTACTGTTGTTTGATTGTCATAAATAATAGCAGACAAGCCAATTAGTGCAACACTTAATGAATTTGTAATGGGTTTGACAATGATTTATTAATTTGAAGCTTGTGTATAGATTTAAGGAACACCTTAAGGCACGGTAACAAAATATCTTACTATATGGTTTGTATAAGCTAATTCATAGAGCAGGAGGTCATCACACATTTTAAGCCGAGGGCTGGTTCATTCTCCCTCAGACTGTTGGGGGGGGGGGGGGGGGACTGTAGTTTGAAAAAACATGAACATATTCCTATGCACACTGCACATATCTAATTTGCAGTGCAAAAAACATGAAACAACAATACAATATTTAAAATGAAGAAGAGTTTTAACCAACAAAATTTACCAGTATTTCAGTGGCAAGTGTGGGCTTGCTTTTGGCTAATGAGATGATCAAATTAATTAAGAATCCCCATTTTCAGACATCATTTGACAATCAGCAGGAAAGATATAATATGGTTTCAAAAGCTATTAGCCTTAGTCCGCTGGGTGGCAGCATAATACATTCTTCCCAACTACCTGTAATTCCTTATTTTGCAAATGTTGGTTTCCTTGCTTCTTGGCCTACTTGCTTGTTTTCTTAAGTAGTTTTTTTTTCAAAATTGTCCAGCTCTGTTCTGAATCATGTACATATATGAATAGACACTTATGACAAAAATGGTTATTTTTGAGAAATATGTGTATACAGTGGCCACATCCAGACAATATCACAAACGTCACATTAAATTTGGGTTAAAAATAAATTCAAAGTTTTCTGGTTCTGAAAAACATGTTTTGACATGGTTTACTGAATGAGAATAGTCACAGCAAAACCAGACACTGGTTTATGGAAACAGAAATACATATAACAACTGGACTCCACCCAAACCGCAATGTACTTGTAATTTTAAGCAATTTTCAAATTTGAATACTATTGGAACTACTCACCTCACTGGCATAGCCATTCTGATTAGGATTTTTTTTTTACTTCAAGAAATGACTGTACACTTTAAACAATTTTTTTAAAGTCTCCATATTTCACATACATTTCAAATCAAAACAAAGAGTATGATTAAATGTCTTTCTGAAACTTATTGTTCCAGAAAATAACAAAAAGAATCAATCTCATGATAAATAGGTTTTCAAACATTTGAATGATTTAATAATGCTGAATCTTTTTAATCATCTTTGGGAAAAATGATAAATAAGATGAACAATGATAAATGGTAGACAGTAATTTTATAAATACTAGTATTGAGGTGGAAAGAGTGTTTGCCTAGCTTGAAATTGTCATAATTTGTGAATAGTTGATGTTAAATTGTAAAACAAAACATGACAAAAGAGCTAATCAATTTAATTGACTTCTCTGATCGTGTTTGTATAGGAATTTGATTCTGAAATGAAAAAAATAATATGCAAAACACTTCGATTTGTTTCTCATTATTATGGAGCATCTTTAGTGGTATGTATGTTACTATCTGTTATGAGCATATGTTATGTTATAATCTTAGTTAACTATATTTAAATCCCATTGGTGTCACTATAAATGCAACCCATTCTGCAGCAGTGATGAGGAAAAAAAGGCAAATTTCATATTGGGAAAGGCTAGACATGGATGCATCAAAATGGATTAATGTAAATCTTGTAACTGTATTTAGAATATTCTGCATCCTTCTGTTTGTGCTCCTCAATAGAATATTATAGAGTTGAGAAGCTTAAACAAAATGATAAAGAATGAAAACAGGCATGTTAGATTGGTCTGAAGAGTTTTTGGGTTCCCATGGTGTTCTTTCAGTGATCAATCAAATACGTATTGGAAGTCACAAATATTATGATTACACTACCACCCTTTTCCATGCATTCTCCAGCTGTCAATGTTGAGAGGCATACTGAAAATACAACCATCACATATCTTAATGCGTGATGGTTGTATTTTGTATCAACAACTACTAGCCATCTTGTGTGAATTGGTTTTCTTTTAAAAACCACTGTAGAGAGTACCCATCACTAGTTTTGTTAGTGAATTCTATCATTTGCATGTGCATTCTGTAAAATAATCACTGTAAAATTATTCCTTCTAAGAGTCATCAATCTCTCACCACTAGGCTGTCCACCAAGTGGACTCAATATTGGCAGCTGGGGTGTCCATGAAGGAAAGTGAATGTTTGGACTAAAACATTTGGGAGGTCTTCTTAAGGAATATAAAATGACAATTAAAATTTGCATGATAAAAGCTGGAACAATTGCGGATGGTATGAATAAAGTAGATACACAGAAATATGTGTTTATTGTTCAAATGCATCAGTGAAGAAGGAATCCAAGGCTTCCAAGCAAGAGTGAAAAGATTCACTGTTGGATGGAGCCTTGGATAAGAATACTCCTGCAAGGAAATAAAGAGATGGTGCATTGTTTTGTTGCCATTCAGTCTACTACCCTATTGCAGTAATATTTCTCCTCTCTGTATATTTTACATAGTGACTTCAGTGCAGTGTTACAAGCATTTGCAGCATTAAGGCAAATTCATTATAAATGAACAGCGGGTAAGGTGTTTCACCTAAAAGTGAACAGTGAGTAAGGACTGCTGCTAAGAAGTAGTACAAGTACTTATAACAAAGGACAATGGATCCAGTATCAGAATCCTTTTAGGACCTCAAGCTACAATTTAAACACAACAAATATGGCTGTATTCGTCCAAAATAAATTATGATTTCCTGCCAACTGGAAGCAGAAGTCTCTAAACATCTTTACACTCAAATGGGGAGGGCAAAAAGAATATCCTAAGGGAGAGAGGGAGCTGAAGAGGAAAAGTCATGGAAATAGTAATTTTTAAGTACCCATTGCCACTTCTACCCTCAATTTTCCAAGTTTTTCACCAAGAGGTGGGCTATTGGCATATTCTTTCATGTAATTGCCTATAGTCTATAGTTAAGTACATGAACAAGGGCACAGAAAATGCATAGTCAAGTTATGACTTCTGAATGGCTTTGCAGTGATATTTTACTATACTTCCCATGAAGACCATAACACAAGCTTTATATTTTGTTCTCAGTTTACCAGCAAATCTGAAGCTCTACTATTAAAAACACGTACACTCATTAACCACTTGGCATTTGGCTTTGATCGAGGGTAAGCTAATCAGTTTCCTAAGATTTACAACCATTTGACTGAATATAGTTGGCTTTCTGTCAGGAGTGCTTTGATTGTGTGTACCTACATGGCAGAGGGATGAACTGGATAACCGTTGTGGTCTCTTCCAACTGTATGATTCTATATTAAACAATATTTGCCAGGTCTTATGTTCAATGTACAACTGTTACTGAATCTCATTTAACTACATTAATGCCAATGAAGCTGTTATGGCATCAGGTGTGGAAGTAGATTCTTAATGGATTTGTTGGTCAGCAGTGTATTTCTGATTTCAGTGTAATAGATAAAATAGAAATGGTTTAAATCATAGGAAAAGGGCCTGTGTTTATGCAAAGGGCCCACTGTGTGGTAAACTATGTGATAAAACCCATATTTTGCAGTGCTCTATATTCAGCCAAAAGGCTTAATGCTTGAAGATCTCTGTTGAGAAGATCCTAAATAGATTACTGCAACACACTCTATGTGGGGTTGCCTCTGAAGACTGCTCGGAAGCTCCAGCTAATCCAACGATCGGCAGCCAGATTGATTGTTGGGGGTTGTATGCATAATAGGGGCGTAAAACCCCCCTGTTATGCCAGCTCCACTGACTGCCTATTTGCTTCTGAGCACAATTCAAAGTGCTGGCTTTAGCTTTAGTCTATAAAGCCCTAAACGGTTCCAGCCCAGTTTACCTGTCCAAACGTATCTCCCTCTACGAACCACCAAGGAAGTTAAGATCATCCAGGGAGGCCCTGCTCTTGGTCCTGCCTCCTTTGCATTCGCGACTGGTGGGAAAGAGAGACAGGGCTTTCTCTGTGGTGGCCCCTCGGCTGTGGAACTCCCTCCCTAATAAGATTAGATCTGCCCCCTCCCTCCTGACCTTTTGGAAAAAAACTCACATTCTGGCTGTGGGATCAAGCGTTTAAGCAATAGACTGATCAACTGGGAAGAGAATGTTTTTAGTGGACCGCAATGGGTTGATTTGGATTACTATTTGAACTGATGAACTGTTTTAATGAATATTTATAACTGTTTTAACTGTGTTAATTATTATTTTTAATATATTATGTTGGCATCTAATGGCTGCATGTTGTAAGCCGTCCTGAGTCCCTCTTTGGAGGTGAGAAGGACGGGATATAAATGCTCAAAATAATAAGATTATGGTAGACAAAAAATTAATTAGTTTGTTAGCATAACTTTAGATGTAAAAACATATAAACACTGGAACCGTGTGGAGTTTGGTCCATCAGATCTGTAAAAATTTAGCCCAGAATAATTAATAATTTACTTTTTCTGGATTGTGTTTGTGGTCAGTGTTGGTAACTCATTTTGTTCTGTTCATATTTTTAAAGAAAATCTGTGTCTTTGGAGCAGAATAAACCACTATTTATTCCAGTAGGAATGGACTCTCTTAGTCAAATAGGTTGGTGTGTTTTTTTTCCTTAGTGTGTCTGTTGTACATAAAGTTCCTTTAATGTGAAGAATGCAGATGGAAAATGAACAAAAAGGGGGAAAATTCAAATATCTATAAAGTATATGCATGTGTAGTATTATTGAAGCAAATGGGTTGGAGAAGTTTTATAGTATTTGTGATTATATGAATTACACCGTGATCCTGTATTTCTTCACTTTAAAGTTCAATAGAAGCCATTTGCTAAAATGTGTATTAGTTTTTATCTTTAACTTTATCTTTATCTTTAAGTGTTATAGAATTGGTGCCAACACTTATGAATTTCAGTGTTACAGTTCTTCACAATTAAGGCATTTTATACTTTCTTTTCTTGACTACCATTAAATTATTGAGGATGATAAGTGAACCACCCATCTTATTTTCAATTATGGCATGAAAATTATTAAAATTCCTATGATTTTTAGGGCCCCCGCCTGCTGCTGACAGTGATATTGGAAAATTGCATGCCCAGTCACCGGTAGACTTATGGAAGAAAGTGTTTGAGAATGCATTTCCACCCAAGGTATAAATATTTTATTTTAAAATAAATCAATTTTTATTTTTTATAAACCTTATTTTTGTTGTAGTATTTGATAATTCTAACTATTGAAGTTCAGAGTCAAATTAAGTCCTACTTTTTATCATTAAGGCTATCAGTGCAAGAAGTGATTGAGAACCAGAGTGGCGTAATGGTTTGTGTGTTGTGCTTAGGACATTGGTTGGCCAGGGTTTGAGTCCCCACTCAGCCATGGAAACCAACTTGGGTGACTTTGGACAAGTCACACTCTCTCAGTCTTAAACTCTCTCCAAAAAAATTCAGCCAAGAAAATTCTGATAGGACTTAGAATTACCATAAGTCTGAAATGACATGGAAGCACACAACAAGGAAAAAAATTGCCTTTGGAAATACATGACCCCACTGGAGGACTCATAACCTAGCCAGGATTATATGGACATGCTAACCCTCTGAACTGGCTTATTCATGCCAAGGGGATTAGGATTTTTTGAGCTGTATTCAGCCCATATGTGGAGTCAACATTTATACTTGGCATCAATCCTAACAGGGTTGCAGTCTCACATGGTTCCTTTTAACAAGTTGGAAAGGGAACACAACTGTACAATCCACCCCCTTGTACTGATGCCAATTATTATCTTTGACCCATCGAAGGAAGAGAAGCTTACTCCAGGGGGTGGATGGGGAACTGGATATCCACAAAACCAAAGCTGGCTTACAGGCCCTGTCCATCCAAATTATAGCCCTTGGTTTTCAGCTGCACGCCTCCTTGGGAAGCTGCCTGGGGAGCCTACTGCCTTTCCATGCCACACACTGAGAAAGGAATCTATTCCCAGCAAGCAACAAGGAACAAAGCCAGCTACCTGTTGTACAAGGGTTAGTCCTCTCTGCTTTTGTGCTGCCATCATTATGAAAATCATCCCACTGTTTGCTACCCATCAATAAGGCATCAAAGCCATTTTTTCAAATATAACTGGAGGTCAGACATATAATTTCTTTTTAAAATACGTTTATGGTAACAAGTGTCACGAGGTTATCTGTGCTCTGTTTTGCAGTTCAAGCATACTTCATAAAGTATTCTGGAGGTAGCTGCTACTTGCCTATTGCAGACAAACTCACACCTACAATGAGGTCAGCTAGAGTAGAATCCTACTCTTTCCCGTGTCAAGCTTTATTGCAACATTTACTGCAGATACACTGCTTCAGCACAACATCAACGTTTGTGTTTCTTCAGGCCTACTTTGCCACTTTCCTGATACCAATTCTACATAACTTCTAGCTAGTTAAAGGACAAGGAGGAAAAGGAGTGACTGGTTGAGTCTAAAAAGGCTGTACAAAGATGTTTTGTCTGAGTTAAAAGAAAAATGCCTGTGTGCATAAACGGAGATACTTGTCTGTTTATATGTGGATATGTGCAAAGGGGGTTAGGAATAATTCTGTGAGAGAGGTTGAGATGAACTCTTCAAAGAAATATGATCGTTTGACTGATCATATTTCTCTTTGACCCCAGCTATAAAGATATTCCCAAGATAAGCTATAGTGATATTCCAAGATAAATTGTTGCAATGGGGAAAGGAGAACACGGTTTTTACAGTTTTGCTTGCTGTCATTTCAGAGTGTTGGTGTTTTTAAAGAGGTCAATGATCCTGCGCAGGATCCACAGTATGCTGAATATGAAGTTGATGTTATGCGAGGTCAGAAGAATCAGGTACGTCACTCTGTACTTTTTAATACAGTTTTTTATATGGCTGTAATAAAACCTGGGGAAATTTGCCAGCCTCTGTCATCCACTGTAGATCTGCCCAGACCTTGAACTTTGATGCTTTTTAAAACATTAGATCCTCTTTCAGCCATAAAGTTTGCTTAGTGACCTTGGACAAATCACCATTTGTTAGTCTAACCTGATGTATAAGCTTATTATAGAAATAAATCAGATAAAATGGTGAAGCCCTTTGTACAGTGAAAAATGCAATGTGTATGATTAATATGGAGAAATTAGCTCAATTAGTCCACAACAGAAGACTGTATTAAGTGAAAACCGTGTGCAGAGTATTTGAAATTATATAGTGTTTTAGAAACAATGTTATTATAGGAGAAGAATGATAGAATCATAGAATCGTTGCGTTGGAAGAGACCTCGTGGGCCATCCAGTCCAACCCCCTGCCAAGAAGCAGGAAAATCACATTCAAAGCACCCCCACAGATGGCCATCCAGCCATGATTTGATTACTTACTGTAATTTACTTACTATAATTTTCATTTCAAAAACATACTGGTTAGTGTGTGTATGTACTTCTTAATCAGCATAACTTATTTACATAAACCGATGATGCTGGATACAATAATTTCTGCTGGATATGGGTATATTATTTGGTTATAAATCACGCTATTTGCTGACACACTATATAAGCAATGGGACTTTACTCACCTTTAGTCAAACCACACTTTGGCTGGTGTCCTTATGGTGGCATGCAAAGGCATAGGTCAGTTGAATGCTTGCATATAGGTATTTCTTTTTTGGTTAATTAAAATTGGAGTTAAAATTGCTGGAAGAAACATTAACAACCTTAGATACGCAATTTTTTTTCATGTCAGGAGCGACTTGAGAAACTTCAAGTGTGGTGTGAGATAATTGGCAGTCTGAAAGGACGTTGCCCAGGGGAGACCTGGATATTTTTGATATGTTATCATCCTTGTGGGAGGCTTCTCTCATGTCCCCACATGAGGAGCTGGAGCTGATAGAGGGAGCTCATCTGTGCTCTCCCCGGATTCGAACCTGCGACCTGTCGGTCTTCAGTCCTGCCGACACAGGGGTTTAACCCACTGTGCCACCGGGGGCTCCTAGATATGCAGATGATACCACATTGATGGCCAAAAGCAAGGAGGAGCTGAGAAGCCTTCCAAGCAAGATGAAAGAAGAAAGTGCAAAAACTGGGTTGCAGTTCAACATCAAAAAACCAAGATTATGGCAACCAGACTGATTGATAACTGGCAAATAGAGGGAGAAAGATTACTGCAGGCGAAGGCTGCAGCCAGGAAATCAGAAGACAATTACTTCTTGGGAGGAGAACAATGACCAATCTTGATACAGTAGTGAAGAGTAGAAATATCATACTGGCAACGAAGATCCGCATAGTTAATGCAGTGGTATTCCTCGTAGTAATCTTTGGATGCGAGAGCTGGACCATAAGGAAGGCTGAGCGAAGAAAGATAGACACTTTTGAACTGTGGTGCTGGAGAAAAATTCTGAGAGTGCCTTGGACTGCCAGAAGATCAAACCAATGCATCCTCTAGGGAATAAAGCCTGACTCCTCACTGGATGAAAGGATAATAAAGGCAAAGATGAAGTTCTTTGGCCAGATAATGAGAAGACAGGAAAGCTTGGAGAAGACAATGATGCTGGGAAAAATGGAAGGAAAAAGGGAAGAGGAGTCGACCAAGGGCAATATGGATGGATGGTATCCTTGATATGACTGGCTTGACTTTGAAGGACCTGGGGGTGGCCACGGCCAACAGGGAGCTCTGGCGTGGGCTGGGAGCTCTGGCGTGAACTTGGTAAAGAGGTAGCCCAATTTTTTATTGTTGTTCATTCATTCAATCACTTCCAACAAAGAGTTGGAAGTGGTTGAATGAATGAACAACAACAAAAATTGGGCTTCCTCTGTACCAAGTTCAGAAACTTGCAGACACATTGGTTATGGGAACATATAGGAGTGAGCATATTACACCATCATTAAAGTCATTCAATTGATTGCCAATATAAGTGATGGTTATGATCTTTAAAGCTGTATATAAGTATAAGTATATAAGCAATACCAGGCCCCAACCTGGTTCCTGTGCTTTAGATGTCATCATTTGCACATCAGCTTTGCTTCTGTCTCTGCTGCTTTTATCCTGCATTACTTGGTCGGTGTAGATGTGCCCAACATCTGCTGAGACCTCTAGATTTTCCAATGGACTTCAACAAATGATGTAATCGTTTCATGCCAAGCTACAGGGACAGAGCTAGATTCTTCATTTTTACCAGGCATAGAATATCATGGCGGGGTGGGGGTAGCGGGTGGACTGCAGTGACTCTACAGTAGATTCAGAGGTTGGGGATTGGCCATGACTAACTTTGTCCAGTAGAATTTAAGCATGACTAATATCTCCCATATTTAACCTTGAAAAAGTTTACAATCTTGCTCATGTATTCTTTTTGTGTCTAAAGCCAGTGGCTTGGTTACCACCATTATCGGTTGTAAAAACTACAGCTGAATCAAATAAAGTTCAATTAAGGTTACCTATAAGGTTGCAGTCCATAATTTGCCGGTTTGAAAATGAATTATGTGAAAAGTTCTATCAAAAATTGTAAGACTTAGCACTGTCACACATCTCCCATAATCCTACAGTTGGAAATGTATTATTACTTTGAACTGTTAACTGGGATCATAATGGAACTATTAAAGCATCTTTCCCAATGGGCTAGTTATAACCAATGAGTGAGAAATGCAATGTGGCATAGGGCAGGATCCAGTTTTAATTTTCTATAAGAATAACAGAGGAATCTAACAAAAGCATGAAATGCTAGACCTGCTCCTGAGGGCTCAGGAAGTTCTCTGGAAATGATTTTCAGATGTCTTCAGGAACATCTGCTAGGGAATGGGATGCGATTTCCATCGTGTTGACACATCACAAGCTTGAGATTGGATTTAGACCATGCAGATGCCTGGGTTTTTTTTTTTTGTTTGTTTTTTTAAGATATGGTTCTTTATTTTTGGGGGTGGGGGTGGGGTAAAAGTTCCATAACATGTTCCACTGGTTGTGAGGCGATTTCATAAAGTAATACATTTCTACTGTAAAGTAGGCCAGGTTAACAGCTTTTTAGAATTATGGCAACGTGGAAGAACTTTGCGTGTGACCTTCAATGGTTATCATTAGTAGGTTTCTACATTGTAGCTCCTTAAGGGTGAAAGGTGGTTCAGGAAAATAGCATGGCCCTATTTTTAATCTGAAGTAACCCTGTATTTCAGTAGAACTTTCATGATTCTCAGGCTAGACACTATGAATTTGAGGTTACTTGCGTTCATATCAGTCACCATGCTTTTAATACTGAGCCAAATTACTATCTTATTGACGTTACAGTTTCATAATATTTATTTATTGCCCTGAAATAAGCTACAGTTGAATAAGGCTCTCGAGCGCTCCTAGTAGGCTATGGATTCAGGTTTGTTCCAGGGCATTAACCTAGAGTTACCTCACTGAGCCATGGTAAGAAATTAATCTGAGTTGAATTTACTTTTGTGTGGACTTCTAATTTATAACTAAGACATTTATTGAATTCATTTCAACATGACAATCAAAATAGAATGTTGTTTAATTTCTTGCTGTATATATATTTGCTGTACAGTCATGCCAAACTTACTATTATGGATGATTATGGATGACTTTTTATTAACTAAAATAGCCTACAAGTAAGAATTGATTTAATCATTCTGAGAATTAATCTTTTCCCAAGTGTTTCTTACTTTCTGTGCTCATTTCTTTTATCTTTTTTATCTTTATTGATACCATTCGAAGTGACTGTAGCTTTTGTTGGTGGTACTGCTGCAGAAAAAAATGGTAATAGACAAGCTCTGTCAAAAGCAAAATTATCTGCTGTTATTTCCCTAAAATTTCCATCTTGAAGTTTAGTTATTATAAGATTATTGTAACATTTGAACCGGCTTTTATACAAACATTTTGGGATTTTTGTATTTCATTTGATCTTAAAAGCTGTAAGATAACCCTGTGTACATCTATAAGAAAACAATTCCCTGGTTACATTCAGTTTTTAAATGCATTAGGATTTCCCATAATTATATGAAAATTGAGAGCGAAATGGCCCTTATCTTAAGAATAAGTATTAAATGCTTCAGAATGCTAATCTTTTTTCCCTTTTGTAGTCCTTTGTTCCATACATTCTTTAAAGATAAAGCAGCTATACAGAAAGAAGCATTTATGTTAAAGGTATACTGTCGAACATAATGCTCGTATTTCCGTTTCTTGAAGGTATTCATGCATAATAGCTTTTTATTTTGTGCATTTTCCCTTGATCACTTCATGTTCTTCTTTTTGACTCAACATGACAATCTCTAGAGTTTAATACACTTCTCACATTGCTGCTGACACTAGAAACCACACATCTACAAACTCTAACAAGACTCTCCATTTCTGGCTAAGCTGTCTTAAAAATAGTACATCAAGGGAAGTTTTCCCAGGCATGTCGTGATCCATCCATGTTGTATGGATCTTTCTTGTGGGGATCTGCCACAGGTTTTGTTTCATCAAGATATGGAGGAGGGCATCATTTGCTAACTGGCTGCCAATACATTTCCAGGCCCAATTCAAAGTGCAGGTTATTACCTATAAAGCCCTAAATGGTCTGGGTCTTGCTTATCTTCGCAACCGTATCTCCCTCCATGAACTGGCACAAGCACTAAGATCTGCCAGGAAGGCCTTTATTTAGATTAACCCACACACTATCCACCTTCCAGAAACATTTGATGACTTAGATGTTTCAATGTTTAGCTACTGATAGTCTTCCTAGCCCTAATCTTTTGTTTGGATCTCCAGCACTTTATTCCCAGACCCAGCCTTACAGTTTGTGTTGGCACAAGCCTTTGTCCTGCCCTATTTGCCTCAAATCTGCACATGCCCACTTTTCTTAGTTACCGGTTGTCTGTTTATGTTTTATGATGTCTTACATTTTTTTGGTTTTACAGTTTTAATACATTTTACTGTTATATGTTTTAAATTGTATTACTTGTAACTTTTGTTTATATTGGTCTTGGTCCCCATGTAAGCCGCCCCGAGTCCCTTCGGGGAGATGGAGGTGGGATATAAGAATAAAGTTATTATTATATCATAGTAGATAACTGCTAATTTGGTACAAGTGGGAGAAATATCACGGAAAGTAGAGGTTTCCTATACCCCAAAACTGAGCAACCCAGTATGTGTCAGCAAAGTTTTAAATTCAAAATTAACAATATGTATGCGTGAAACAACCAGGTTTGGTAAACAAAACCATTTTGAACTTTATGGCAATGACCTGAGAGCTTCTTCAAAAATGCATTCAGGATGATTTGTTCTTTTCCATTTTTCACTTTACTTATGAGATCCTTGTTAGTAACCAAACTTACATAACTGTTATTTTTTAACTGGCTTGGAAACCTGGTGAGGGTGAGGCAGTCTTGTTCAGTCTTCCCTTTTCTCTCTCTTTAGTTGTTCAGATTTGGTCAGCAATGGGTTCTGGAGGCATTTGCTGTTTTCCTTCCCTGTTATATGCACATGCACATAACTACAATAGGAACAGCTAGAGCAAAATCCTTTCTTTCCCAGTTCAAGATTTATTGCACTGTTTATTGCTACTACTATATTACTACAATAGGTGATCACTTGAGTATTATTGTCTTCTAAGGGTAGAGTCTTGGCTGTGGAGCCATAAATGACTGTAGAGACCTATTCTGGATTCACCTGGTCTTTCACAATGAAGACAGTCATGACAAGGGTTTGCTTGACGCACCAAGTTCTTAGCACATTTCTCCCTTTTGCCCTCTCATCGTGCCTCTTCAAAATCCACAGCACTGCTGGCAACAGCTGGAGGGCCAGGACTTCTTAGATCTCAGTTTATACTCAGTTTATATTCTTAGATCTCAGTTTATATTTAAGCCCATCTTTTAATATCTTTTGTTGGGCACCCAACATTCCATTTTCATTTCTTGAACTGATAGTAAAGTTACTGCTGTGAGAGATGGTGATCAGGCATTCGGACAATGTGGTCAGTCCAGCAAAGATGATATCAGAGAATCATCGCTTCAATGCTGATGGAGCAGGTGGATGATAGCATGTTTACTATAGACATGCTGTGGCAGACTGATGCCAAAAGCCTATATTTCTGCATCCTTCATTATCCTCCCAGTAGCAATGCTGGTACAAAGCTGCCAGTTTGAGGCAGGGGACAAGAAAGAAAAGCAAGGATTGAATAGATGTAAAAACATTTTGTAAAAAGAAGCTTCTTTGTCAGAACATTTGTTAAGTGAGATATACCTGTATTCTTCCTTCTATGTAGATAATAGGTTTTTTATATTTTTAATTCATAATTAAAATTCATGTATTTAAAAATATTTTTTAAGTATGAAGGCAAGACTTCTGAAAATTATTTGTGAACAAATAATTGGTATTTTGAACCTGTCTGATGGAGCTATAATGAAATCGGTTTTTAAATTTTTATGTATGTTTTAGTAGGATTTTATGTTTTGTGATGTTTATTTTAATTTTATTTGTCTGTATGGTTTTCCTTTTTGGCATTGAATGTTTTGCCTTATATGTTGGAAACTGCCCCGAGTCCCTTTGGGGAGATATGGCGGTATATGAATAAATTTTTATTGTTGTTTTTGTTACAAATAGTTTTATGCATATTTATTCAGAAGTTGGAACTGTAGTGTTCTGTGAAGCTTAAGCCAAGTGTGCATGTTACTAGTTTCTACATGAGATCAAATAATTTCAACCTGGCCTTTATGCTGTGATTCCTGAATTAGGGATTAATATTTGGCTACTTTCAAAGTAAAGTTTTGCTTGCAATGATGGTGTATCTGAGAAAAGGGCCTCTCCTGGTGATCTCAGAGCCCGGGCCGGCTCATACAGGGAAGTACCTGAATCTGAATTATAGAGATCTTCATAGCACTTTGAGCTGTGTCCAGAAACAAACTGATAGCAAAAGGAATGGTGTGAACCTTGTAGCCAGACCCAGTTGACAGCCTGGCTATAGCTCTTGGACAAGCTGAAGCTTCTGAACCCTCTTCAAAGGCATCCCCAAGTTGAGAAAATTACGACAATCCATCCGGGATATAACTAAAACCTTAGTTATTGCCATAATGGTGATGATCCTCAAAGCACAGATAAATGACCAGCACTGTCAACTCCATCCACTCCAGTTGTAGCATTGCTCATTTGTTCAACTTTCTCCAGCCTATGGAGTTCATTGCTGCACAGGTGGACCTGCAGACCTTGCCCATAATCACAATGTAAGAAAAATTCTGTCAGACTAAAAGTCTACATAAATCTGTACTTCTTTACAACAGTAACTAACCTGATGCTTGGAAGCCCATAAACAGATTAAGAACACAAGAGCCTTCCAGTGTCTGGTGTTCATAGATACATGCCCTTATAACACTTAGAGATTCTACTTTGCAAGCAAAGTCTGTGTTGTCCGTGACTTGGGAGATCAAGATCATACTTGAGAGCAAGGTAATATAATTGTTTAATACAGTAGCATCTGGGTAATTGCTCTTTGAAACTGCAAGGAGTAGATACGGATGCAATTAGAATAATGGACTTCAGTAATTTTGCAGTAAGTCTCAATATTAGAATGGCATACAGGGCACTTCCTGTATGAAATTAAAAGATAAAACCTCTGTTTGTTGAGTGTTATGAAAGGTTTCATGATAGGTGCTTTAATCATGGTTAATTCTCCCTGTGTTGCAGTCTGGATTTCTTTTACAAAATATTCATAATTAAGATTATAGATATCGCTGAAATATTCCATGCAAGTTTTTTCCCTGGGTCTTGGGTTTTTCTTCCCCATGTTGTTTCAAAATTCCATATTTTATAGCTTACATTCTATTTTATTTGTACTACTTGTCCTGTGACACTAATGTTTTTAAATTTTGTTCTTATATGCTTCCTAGTCGACTTTGACTTGTGGTATATAGTTTCCACCGTGAGATTTTTTTCAAAATAATTGTCCACTGATTTCCAAATAAGGCTAGAAATGTATGATTTGGTTTCTATCTTAAAAGGTATAAACTCTGAAGCTACTACTACATCAGCTCTATGCCAATGACATTCAATGCCCTTTTCTGATTTTTTTTTGGGTTTTTTGTTTTTTTGTAAATCAGTCTGCAATGCTTTTGGGAATATTGTCAACTATTAGTTCTGTGGGAATGTTTTAATGATTGGATTCAGACTTATTCATATGTTAAATTTGTTGTTAGGCTTTCACTCAAACATATGGCATCCTCTGCTCAGGTTTTCTTGACAAGATTCCTTCCAATGTGATTTATCACTGCCTTATTCTAAGGATGACAAAGAATGACTTCCTAAAGGTCACCTAATGGAAATCATACTCTCTCATCTGGGTGGATATTCAAACCTTGGCCTTCTGGAAATCTAGTGTAACATATTGCCACTACACCATGCTGGAGCTCCTACATAGAGTGTATATGTGTCTCCCCTTTAATTCCTGTGAAATATAGGCTACAGCACCTAGTGTTCTCAGATGGTATCCTATCCAAGTTCTGAACCGGAGGACCTCTTTTACATTAATGTTTTAATAATTGATTTTAACTGTTGTTTTAACTGTAACTGTTTTATAATTTATGTATTGGCATCGAATAGCTGTCTGCTGTGAAGCCGCACTGAGTCCCCCTTTGGGGGTGAGAAAGACAGGGTACAAATGCATGAAATAAATAAATAAATACTGACCAGGGTTGACTCTGCTTAGCTTCTAAGATAGACAGGATCTGTTGACTTTAGGGTATTTAGGTCCCACTATGTAGAATAGACTTACTCAAATCAGTTGGACTTAGAATTACTCAAATCAGTTGGACTTAGAATTGCTCAGAAATTATCTAGGAATGCAACTATAATATTAAACTGAAAAAGAATTTGCAGTTGCTTATGTTTTGAGTTTTAATCTAATTGTTTTTGTTACTATTTCAACATGCGTGTTTTCATTTCAGGAACTAGAACAGTACAAAAAAAATGCCTCTAAAACTTGGAAAGAAATGGACTTTGATTCTTGACTGAGAAACAGGTGCCTCAACCAGATTTCAACTTCATTGCTGTGTTTTGAACATTTAAGTTGGTTTGTGTAAGTTTTGTGTGTACAGTAAATCTAAATGATTCACCAGAAGTATGTTTATTATTGTTGATAACAAAAGGGAAGTGAATTTGTGAATCTCAGCCTCAGACCTATCATTTAATATCAGACAGGCAGTTTGGGTCTATTTTTTAAAATAATCTTAAGTAAACAGTGGGTTTATGGCCAAATCCTCAGTTTCATCTCTGCTAGAATACATATACATGCACATGTTTTCCAAGTATGGAGGTAATATGAAAAAGCAAATCTCTGTTCAAATCGACTGACTACAGTGTAGTGAATGTCACAGATTTTTTTTCATTGAGCATTTTGTTCTTTATAAAATGATGATGTCCTATTTTTATCCAGTTAGGACAAACATATCCAAATCTTGTCAGCAAACTAAAGTGCACATATTAAATGATACTTCTATTTATACTATTGGAAAGAATAGCCTTTTTTACTTTTCCTGTGATTATTACTAATATTTGAATTTAAAATGTCCATAGATGTATTTATTTTTCTTCACCTTAGCAAAAGAAAATTCAGGAGGAGATAAGAAAATTGTTTATGGATATCTGTACCATTTTTAAATATACTAGACATTGGGGTAAAATAATTAAACATTAATTCCATTTGGTCTTTTAAATAAAGTTTTTTATTACAAAGCATACACAATGTTTCCTCCTTCATTGTGAGACTTAATATTGGTTCCCAACACAGTTTCAAAAGAAGAATAAAGTTATGAATATGGTAAGTGAAACATAAGGGCCAAGAAGTGTACTGGGACATTACTGTTGTATAGCTCCTTGTTATGACAGTACTTGTAGTAAAGTATTTACAAACTTGCACAGAAAGATATCCAGTAGCACTTCAGGCAAGCACTACCCATTCACCCACAGTGCAGCAATATTTAGGCACAGCTTCAGACCCAGCATCACAACATTGTTCCAAGTAATGGCTAGGAAACTTCAACAAATACTGTTCTATTTTAGTACTATGGCAGAACTTACGTTTCACTGACATTGGACAGAATCTCAGACAAGTATGCTCTTTACTTGGAATGAGGAGGCATAATACTTAGTATTATCATGTTTCTTTAAATATGTTTAACCTATTTTGTGTCAAAAGATCTTGGTGGTAGTAAAGGTAAAGGTTTCCCCTTGACATTAAGTCTAGTGGTGCCCAACTCTGGGTGGTGGTGCTCATCTCCACTTCTAAGCCAAAGAGTTGGCGTTGTCCATAGATGCCTCCAAGGTCATGTGGTCATGACTGCATAGAACACCATTGCCTTCCCACCAGAGCGGTACCTATTGACTACTCCCATTTGCATGTTTTCGAACTGCTAGGTTGGCAGAAGCTGGAGCTCACCCCGCTCTCCAGATTTGATCCGCCAACCTTTTGGTCAGCAATTTCAGCAGCTCAGTGCCACCAGGGTCTCAAATTAATCTACAACAATTTAAAATATATAACACTTTAAAATGATTATTTGTACAGCATCAAGTGAAGTTTGCACCCCAAACACCTGGGTGAAAGACATGTTTTAAATTGTTGCTGAAATTAAGTCAGAATCATTGCCAATCAGATTTCCAAGACATGCCACAACTGTGGGAGCCACAGCAAGGAAGGCAGTCATGTGTGTCTCTACATAATGTATTATTTCCTCTGCTGGGATACAAAGGAGGACCTTTCCAAGAGTTCTCAGTGCTTGTAAAGTTATTATCAGAATGTGTAAATAGGTGGCAGGCTAGTCACAGATGGTTCCAAACTGGGTCCATCAAAGTTTTGGTGACAGAGATGGACCCAGGAATATTTCCAAGCTACACAATGGTACTTTCAGATGTTTCTCTGGGGCAATTTAAGCTTTCCGTCAGTACTATTACGGCATAACAAAAATAGTCACTCTAATTTAGCCATAGGTTCTTGCTTTTGAGCATGTATTTCTTGTTGAAAGAGGCACCGTAACATGGAAGTATTCCTAGATCCATCTCTAAGGGGGAAAGTGTTCATTTCAATCTATTTTCACATTCTAAATGAGCAAAATGCTTAACACAACTTAGCAGAATTGCTTAAAATGCTCCACAAACTCACAGGGACTCATCAAACTCAATGGGATTTTGTTTTTTAGTACATAGGTCCAAGATATTTCTACTGACTTTTATAGCCTCATAATAACTTTATCTCTTATTTTAAAGCTTATAGTTGCTAGAATTATGAGTGCTGGGAGGAAGGCATATAATAGTAAAAAGTCTGTTGTGAATCGAGATGGTCCTCCAGGAAAGTTTTTTTCAATGAACTGACTCCCTTGAGAGAATGAACAGGGAGACACAACTCCAGCAGAAACATTGAAGTGACCTGTGAAAACAAGGATTTTCAGCAACAGCACTACTACCAAACAGAAGATTTTCTATAACAATGTTTTCACCAATTCCTTCAGAAAATCTGGCAGTCTGGCCAGGGGCTTCAATTTCAGCAAGATTAATTGCATTCTAACTCTTTTCAAAGATTTTTATACTATTGGTCATGGTAACTGGAGAACCTTCTTCATTGTTTCCCTGCAGTCCCTAACATAGGTGGAAATTGTATGGTCCATTGCTACAATACAGTCCTTTTGAGAAGGTCAACTGGGGCCCTTGAGATGCCCACCAATGTCTTCACAAGCCTTCGCACTCAATAAATTTCATTCAAGGCTAATATGGCTGAATAATGCTATTTGTTGGCCACCATCCTTACAAAATAAGCAAAACATCAAACCCACTAAAGTGATAGGAAGTGATGGAATTTTTACTTCTAGTAATCCAAAATAGCAACTCTGGTAGAATAGTGTAGCCCTTATAGGACCGGGGGGGGGGGGGGGTCAAAATATCTTGGTATGGGCATCAGACCATACTTACAGGAATTGCTCCTGTCCTTATTTTTACACCTCAAAAAGGTAAGGCCAAGATAAAGATGAATATATTTAGGATTATTTTTGTTTTCGGGACTTACCGCATGTAAATGTTAATCCAGAAAATTCATTCACAACAAGGATCTCACTGGCATACTTTTGGAAGGTAAAATAACTCAGCATTTTAATAGGAGTAGGCATTTCCTCCATGCTCCTTCAAGAAACAAACAAAATTCATGGTCATACCATAACAGTGCCTCTCATGTTTAATAACGTTTCAGAGTACAATAATCCGCCCAATGTTGAGTGCTTTCAAATCCCATTGATCTCAATAAGATAATTTCAAATAGATTAACTAGGCTAGGGTAGATTTTATAGCTTTGTTTAAAAAACATTGCCTAAGTACTGTAAACAAAAATAACCACTGCCTTTACCTTGCTCCGTCATTCTGGGCTTTGCGGTGCCCCCTGGGCACAAAATGGCAGTGTTTGTTACTTAACACATGTAATAACAATAGAGTGATGAAGGGACATGGAAGAGGAGAGAGGAGGGGGAAAGGGGGAACCACTCTCTTGTTTCTCTCTTGTTTCTCCCTTCTCTGATCACCTTAATGCTTCAACAAGCATCACTCCTGGCACTAAACAACAAGCAGCATTGAGAAGCCTCCTTCTGTTTTGCCTTTCTTCAACCGCCCTCCTTCTGCCCTTCCACTCATGGGGTTGCCGCCGCCCAGTAGACACCTCAAAGACCAGAATTGTGGGGCAAGGGTGGTGCCATCCCCTGTTCCCAGGTTGCCTGAGCCTGAGGAAAGCAGGATTGTGGTGTAAAGGGCAACAGACACTTCCTGAATAGGAAACAGCACAACTGTTTATGCTCGCGCAAAACATGAATTAGATCCAGAGTATCCTGCACCTTTCATTAATGCGGGATTAACCTAAATCAACTCCAAGCGTCTTGTAGTTGCCACAGAGCTGATTCATCTCCCCTTTGGGATAAAGGGGCCTCAATCTATTAAAATATTCTTTAGCAACATTTCTGACTCAAGACATATGACAGATGTATTTGTGACCAGATAATTCTCTTTAGACATACTATTTATATTTGGGAGCATTTCCAAATGGATACTGTCTTTTTATGACCTGAGAAATCTTATCTGATTCTATTCCTAGTTTTAGGATTCTTTCATGACTTCATAGAGCTTACAAGTTATTTAAAAATTCTGTTCTGCTATTTCACTCTACCAAAGATGAAATAGTTTCGTTTATTATGTGTACAATAATTTCCGTGTTAGTTAGACAAACTAATTTTGTTGAAGTGGGCAGCTCTCTTGCATTTGTATTTTTTTTTCTTAGTTTCAGTTAAATTCTACTATCCCAAAATGAGCTTAATGTGGCATGAGTGGCTTCCTTCCTTCTCATTTCACCCCTTGCAACATGGCAGTGGATAAGCCAGGCTAACAGGGAATGGCTGAGTTCAAAAGGTTCATTTAAACCTAAATGTTTAAAGTCACAGTCCAGCACCCCAACATTCCTTGTTATGGTTTTTTGAGGATCTGTACACTTCTTGACATTTTCCGTAGCCTTATTTTCTTTCAAATAGCACTTCTGATGGCATTTTAGTAATATAAACATAGCTGGAATCACTAGGTTCTTGTGGGTTTTTTTCGGGCTATAGAGCCATGTTCTAGAGGCATTTCCCCTGACGTTTCGCCTGCATCTATGGCAAGCATCCTCAGAGGTTGAGAAGGTCTGTTGGAAGTAGGAAAAATGGGTTGATATATCTGTGGAATGGCTGGGGTGGGGCAAGGAGCTCTTCCCTGCTGCAGTTAGGTGTGAATGTTTAGCTGATCACCTTCATTAGCATTTGAAGGCCTGCCTGAGTCTGGGAAAATCTGTTGCTGGGAGGTGTTAATCTGTGCCTGGTTTTTTCCTCTCTGTTGTTTAGCTGTTATAATTTTAGAGTTTTTTAATACTGGTAGCCAGATTTTGTTCATTTTCATGGTCTCTTCCTTTCTGTTGAAATTCCAACATGCTTGTGGACAATTTCAACAGAAAGGAAGAGACCATGAAAATGAACAAAATTTGGCTACCAGTATTAAAAAACTCTAAAATTATAACAGCTAAACAACAGAGAGGAAAAAACCAGGCACAGATTAACACCTCCCAGCAACAGATTTTCCCAGACTCAGGCAGGCCTTCAAATGCTAATGAAGGTGATCAGCTAAACATTCACACCTAGCTCAGCAGGGAAGAGCTCCTTGCCCCACCCCAGCCATTCCACAGATATATAAACCCATTTTCCTACTTCCAACAGACCTCACTACCTCTGTGGATGCTTGCCATAGATGCAGGCGAAACGTCAGGAGAAATGCCTCTAGAACATGGCTCTATAGCCCGAAAAAACCCACAAGAACCTAATATAAACATACATAGTACATTGTGTTTTGCCTTACCTAATAAGTCCACTCCCAGCTAGGACACCTGCTATGTTAAGCAATACTGTTATTCCACTGACCACATTTGGATTTTGAATGATGCCAAGAAAAGTAAGCGCAAGCAGTTCGCCAAAGATATGTGGTCCTAAAAGAGCAGCAAAGAAATATCCAAAGCGAGAGACTTCTGGGTATAATCCCGTAGTCCTGTGTGAATAAAAATAGCTTTCTTCAAAGAGAGGCTATCTTTCCCCTTCCAAATTAGTCAATGAAATGTCTCTTCGTTGAAAAAAAGTTCAATGTCCCTTCACTGAAATATATACTATTCAAAAGTAATTGAAATAAAATCAAAGAGAGAGTTAGGGTCAACCTTTTCCCCTTTGTGTGCAAAAGATTCTATACACTAAGTCTGTGGTTCTTGACCTTCTTAATGTTGCGACCCCTTAGTACAGCTCCTCATGTGGTGATCCCCAACCATAATTGTTTTTTGTTACTTCATAACTGTAATTTTGCTCTTGTTATGAATCATAGTGTAAATATCTGGTATGAAGAATGTATACTCATTCACTGGACCAAATTTGGCACAAATACCCAATGTTGGTTGAAGATAGAGAAGTAATGGAGGGAAATGGCAGCATGACCAAATTTTAATATTGGTGGGCTTTGGAGGGAGATTGATTTTGTCATTTGGGAATTGTAGTTGCTGGGATTTATAGTTCACCTACAATCAAAGAGTATTCTGAACTCCACCAATGATGGAATTGAACCAAATTTGGCACACAGAACTCCCATGAACAACAGAAAATACTGGAAGGGTTTGGTGGGAATGGACATTGAGTTTTGGAATTGTAGTTCACCTACATCCAGAGAGCACTGTGGACTCAAACAATGATAGATCTGGAGCAAACGTGGCATGAATACTCAATTGCTAAATTGCAGTTGCTGGGATTTAGAGTTCACCTACAATCAAAGAGCATTCTGAACCCCACCAACGATAGAATTGGGCCAAACTTGCCACACAGAACCCCAATGACAAACAGCAAATACTGTGTTTTTCTGATGTTCTTTGGTTACCCCTCCGACAGCCTCTCATGACCACCCCAGGGGTCCCGACCCCCAGGTTGGGAAACGTTTCACTAAGATGATTTCACATAGGTGCCACATTAATAATAATAATAATAATAATAATAATAATAATAATAATAACAATCATACTTTATTTATATCCCGCACCTATCTCTGTACATCCAAAACAAGTAGTGTTGTCTTACTGAGTATGCACACATCAGTTCATACTTCACAGTAATGTAAGATTAATTCAGTGAATGTCACATTGATGACAATGCAGTGATCAATAGGAGGCAACATGGATTTATCAAGAACAAATCCTGCCAAACAATCTTACAACTTCTTTTGACCAGGTCACTAGTTTAGTAGATACTGTATACATGACAATACTGTCACCTGGAAACCTAATTGGTTGAAAAACCATACTCAGAGTAGTGATCAATGGCTAAACTTCAACCTGGAAGGAGGTCTCAAGGATCTGTCCTAGACTATTAGTCTTCAACATTTTTATCAATGGCTACAATTATGGGTTGAAGGAAATGTGCAGCTGACACCAGTGTGTGTGTGTTTGGGGTTGGGGGTGGGGGTAGTTGGACATCTCCTTGTTGGGGATGCTGGAGATCCTGCATTGAGCAGGAAGTTGAACAAGATGAACATTGACTCCATGATTTTTATGAAAAACAGTGGTATCAATGGAATATGCTTGCAATGTCTAAGCAGAAACATTTACCCAGCTGAGAAGGCACCCTTACCGTTGTACCTACCAATATATAAAGACACAATAAAGTGCAACACCAATGACACTAAAGGGCAGGAAATGCACAATATAGGCAAGCAACATTTGCCACTTCTGATATAAACCATCTTTACTTTCTTGGTCTCCAACAGCCCGTAAAGCTGGAACTGAAAGGTATGCAAAGGAGAAACAACAATAGTGAACCAAAGCATAAACAGGTAGATTTGCAACAAAAAAACTTTGCACCTATACTCCTGTTGTATAATGTATAGATAAACTACTGTCTTACAGATAGTGTTAGAATACAATAGTTGTCAGGCCTAGCCTGTACACTCAGTGGTGAGGAATGCTGGGAATTGTAGTCCAACTCCATGTTTGCTTTGTATTATATTTTCTCCTATTATGTTCATTATGCAGGTTGATATCTGATAGATAACTCTGAACATGTCATGCAAGGTATTTGCACCCATGTTAAGAAAAGGAGTATAGTAGTAGTAGTAGTAGTAGTAGTAGTAGTACCCTGCTTTTCTCTCAGGATTGAGACCCAAAGCAGCTCACAACTTTAAAAGCTACACAATTAATCTCTCTCTTTGCAATCCTGATTTTAGATGATCCAAAATTGAATTTAGTTCCACTTTGTAAGCAGAATGTAGACATATTTACTAAGAGGTGTACTGAGAGGGAGGAAAACATGCTATGCTCTCATATGTTTAGCAAAAAAATATTCTGTGTTAAAATATTAATTTTCTTTTTAGAAGAATCTATGGTTTACCTCCTTGATTTTCTCAGTGTTAGGAAAGTATGGGATAGTTAAAATGGATCACAATATCATATAGATGGCTCCCTTATAGAATATTGTCTACGAGCCACAGTAATTCCATAATACATACTAACTTTCTTATATGTTTTTCTTCAAAATTACAATATGTGCATCAAGACTGTGGTACGTACAGACAACCCAGTAACTATTTTCCTTGGCAGTAGCTAGGTGTCATTATTATCAATGTCTACAATAGTTTTGAGCAGAACTGGCTACAAGATTTAATAGTTTTTCCATACTATGTTTTCATTGGGATCATAGCTAATGGAGTGGGGATGGGGACAATTGCTACCTCCTTATGTTGTGCTCCAGATCCTACTAACACAAAAACAGAGTTGCTTGTATATTGTAAGGAGAAAGCCTCCTCACATTCATACTCCAACATGTATGCTTCCAAATTAAAGCCATACATTTCAGTACTACTGTGGTTAATCTCATGGTTCCCAAACTTTGTTCCTTCAGATGTTTGGACTTCAACCCACAGAAGTCCCAACTAGCTGGGTCAACAGTCAGGCATTCAGGACACTGAAATCCAAAACATCTGAAAAACTATAGTTGGAGGAGCCCTAAGTTAGACTATATCCACTGAAGAACTTGATGACTAGTGAATCAAGACATAGGTAAATCCCATTGATTCATTGGTTCTAGTCTAACAAATAGTAAGATGTATAATCTCAGGGTAAAGGTACGTGGAAACATGTCCTACATGTCTATAGCTGTTGCTAATGAAATAGACAAGACTTACATAGGGCCAGTGCGTTGAGTATTCCTGTAAATGGTAGAGCGGCCACACACTGGTAAATGAGTCCTATACGGTCTTGCACACCTCCTTTAAGAAAATCATTGTTCAGCCTCAGAAGGAAGAATGCCACAAAGAGGCCAAATAACACATTTTGAGAAATCCGCATTATTATGCCAACCTTATCTCTGGATAAATTTCTCGTTGTCCTCCTGAATGGGAAGAATATAATATTAGAAATTCAGGGCAAATTCATTCTCACTTTGAGAGGGATGAGAGACTTTACATGCTGAAACCATGTTCTCCTTAAAACAGGGCTCACCTTAAGAGGATGCATAGTTTACAAAGCACACTGGGAGAATCTTCGCATTTAAAGGGTACTGGTGGCAGCTCCTTCGCATTGCATTTTGCTTCTTCAATGGCCTCCAGAGTTGTGCAAAAAATCTCTGAATTCTTATAGGCAGAAGAAATGTTTTGAACTCTGCTGTAGGTTTCGAGTTCACGCTCCTTGCTTTGAGTGTCTACGGATGTTAGATCCACTGTGGAGATTTATCACACAAGATTGTATCAATTCATTTCACATTGTGCTTTCATCATAGCCCAATCCATAGAAACCTAGGGTTGGAATTCTATTAATAACATGCATCATAGGCATCCCTTATGATGATACACACAACTTTTCTGAACATTATGCAGGACAAAAACAAAAGCAATTTGGGACAGAGAGGGCAGCTTTTTTTCCAGATGGGGATGACTTTCACTGTTATGCTCTCCATTGACACAGTGCCCTTGGCCCATTTTCCTTTACTGGCGCATCACTGCTTTATTTCAACCTGGCAGATAGGATTTTGGCCCAGGAACTTTGCTTTATAATGAGTAAAATGTGAGAATAAAGTCATAGACCAGTTGACCAGGGACCACTCTCCAACATCAAGGAGGCAATGCCCTCATTTCAACCTTTCCCATCCTCTTCTAATCATATAGTTGTTTGCTCTTTTCTCCTTCAGATAAAAGATGGCTGTCGGCGAATCCTATTGCACTGTGAGGCCTGGAGACTACAATGCAATATGGCCCTTGCTTCCATAGGGCAGTGGTTCCCAGCCTTTTTTTGACCAGGGACCACCTGACCGGGGACCACTTTCCAATATTAGTACCCAAAGGGTTATGAATAAGTTTTTTGTCAACTTAGATTCAGTTTGGTTATTTGGGGTGCTGATCCAGAAATTTGCATTGCATAGACCACATCAGCTCTAATTTCTGATACAGAACATATGCCATCCAGTAGTTGCCATCTGCTCGCCCACAGAAAACCGTATTTAATAATCTAGAGCTGATGTGGTAGTAGTAATCCTTTGTGGGTAGTCAGCCTCTATCCTCCCAACATCTCTATTGACTTGGCACTATAAGAGGGTTTCAGGAGACCAGTTACTCTCATTGCTGCATGGTTTCGAGGCAACAGTGTAGTAATGGTGAGGCCGTGGAGCACATTTTTGTTCTTGCGTATCTCTGGTGGTCCACGGACCATGGGTTGAGGGCCACTGCTAAACACATAGCTTGAAGGTAATTTTATATGAGAATAATTTAAATACTTCGTTCATGAAACAAAGTTTGTATTCATTGAACCATCAGAAAGCAAAGGTATCACTACTTCTGACACGACCATGTAGACATTTTATAGCATTTGGGATACACAGCCTATACATATAATAAAAAATAAGTGTATAAAACTAAATCAAAGTAAAATTCCAAATAGTTTGAAAAAACAAGGATTTTAAAGTTGGAATTTAAAAATGATTGCTGGTATCCTGTTATACCCTAAAGTTATAAATTAGTACATGTTTCATATTCAATTATACGATGTATTCAAAAATATGAAACTACTTCATCATTGCAAATGTACGCACACCTCAATTGATCAACTTTTTCTTGTGTGCTATCACATTATAGTTGAATACCTCACGCAATGATATAATTAATTCCTCATGAAAAGATTAGAAATGGATTGAAATAGTTTACAAACATGGGGAAAAAACAGCAATTTCTCTAAAATAATCTGATATATTGCTTACAAAAAAACTTTGTTAGCTCCTAAAATCAGAAATAAAGTTTGTTAGTTGTTGCTTGCTTTATTTCTATGTCCAAGGAACATGTACCCTATTAAACTATATCTTAAGTTTTGCAGATTTGAAGAAATTGTTATGCTGTGTCATGAAAAGACACTCCCAGGTCACGCTGAAGGGCACTTCTGACCCATTCCAAGTCCTTCCAACAAGTTTCTAGACTCAGTTTAGAAAGACTTACCATAAAAATCAAAAGGGCTGGAGTGTTCAGGGCACGTGTAGCCATGGCCACTGAAAAAACGGATCATTTCAGATGGGCCTCCGCAGAAAACCAGTTCTCCAAAACTCATGATGCAGATTTTATCAAATACCTTGGAAGAAAAAAAATACAAGATCCATTGGTTTTGAAATACTTCTAATAAAAATAGATTAAAACCAGTGTAAACACTTTAAAGCCATGTACATGGAAAGTTTTGTGTTAAATCAATTCGGTCTTCAAAGCTCAAGTTAACATTTTATATACCAAAATGATACACCATTTGTGCCAAATGGATCTCCAATGGGAGAGAATTCCATAACTGGGATGCCACAACAAAGAAGGCTTCCTCATGCTCGCTCGCCATTGTATTGCCTAAACTGATGCAACACAGAGGAGGACCTTCTAGCTCACCAGGAGCAAGTGAATATATAAGTGGTACTCCTTTAAGTATTGAAGTTCCAAGCCGTTTGGATTCTGACTGGAAGTATATTAGGCAATATGCTGAGCAACATCTTTGATGCCCCTTACCTGAAAAAGTTCTGACCGTGGTTGATGGATTGTAATAATCACTATTCTCCCCTTGTGAGCAAGTTCTGAAAGCATCCAGACAATTTGATTGGCTGTCATGCAGTCCAGACCAGTGGTGGGTTCATCTAGCAACATAACCTCTGTGGAAATAACAATAGTGCTTGATGGCTCATATAAGAGACTGTATGATGAAACAACAGATTACTTCAACAAAAGTGAGGTTCTTCACAGAAACAGCAAGAGTGAGGAGCCAAGGGCTGGCAGAGCACTCAACATGTCCCTCCTGAACATGCTGCCATTTCACTCCTTGACTTCTCTTATCTTCAACCAACATTGAGCAGAATAATAAAATCTGTAATAAAACCGCCTCGAGTCACCAACTGGCTTAGAAAGGTGGTATACAAATACAGTAAATAAATAAATAAATAATATAAAACTATGAATTATGAAAGGCTTAAGTAGAAATATGCTTACATTATTGTTTATGGGGAGTCAACTAACAAGGGATGACAACCAATAGGGATGACAATGGGTAGCTTCTGAGATAGCGACTCAGGCAGTCTGTCCAAATTATCCCTAGGCCTGGATCATGATTGTAAGTAATTTGTCTAAACCGAGGCTTAGTCATTGCAAATCCCATCAGCATCCAAACTGAGATTGCAGCTCATTCTGTGCTCAATCTCTGGCAGGTAGGGGAGGGCATGTTGGACTCCCCTGAAGTTTAATGAGCATCCTTAGATTGAGACTCTGTGACAGATGAAAAGTTCTATTAAAAACGTTGGTGAGAGGTGGGTGGTAGGTGTGCGTACCAAGTGACAGTCTAATCAAAAAGGACAGGAGTATTTGTTTTGTGCTGAAAAGCTCTGTGCCGTACTCACTGGGATCTTGTAATAGCTGTGCTGCGATTGAAACACGACGTCTTTCCCCATCAGAAATTCCCCGAAAAATACGGCTTCCAATTACACTGTTAGCAACATGACTGAGACTCAGCTCAGCCATAACAGCATCAACCTGTAAAAACAAGGACCATTCAGGAAGAACTGGAGGTAAAGATTGTCTGCCCAGCTGCTGCTTGAGCTTCCATTAAGGTTGCCATTCTTCTTCTTTTTAAGCCACACAAAACATTACTCTGAATAATGGAGGGGGAAAAAAAACAGGCTGGAAAAATTAGTCTTTAAAATACAAAGGTAACATAACACAAAATGATATGGTTTCCAGATTTTTCACCATTTTGGTCACCCTCATTGGACATGTTCCACCTTGTCAATATCTTTTTTTGAATGGTGGTGCCCAGAATTGGACACGGTTTTCCAAGTAAAGTCTGACCAAATATAGAATAACTATTATTTTCCTCAGTCTAGTCAAGACGTCCTCCATTTGGATATCTGCTCAGGCTGAGTCTGGTACAAAGACAAAAGAACTATAAGTAGAGAGAGGGTAGACCCTTAAATTTGTCCTTTAAAATCTGGTACCTTGACAGCTGGCTACAGAAATATACAACAGATTAAATCTTCCCAACTGTTTTAATTACTGTAATTATTTCTAAATTGGTATCTCTACCATTTAAATTAGCACTTATATGTAAACCTTTATCCATTCATTTTATTTGGAATGGGGCAACGTGTAACTCACCATCGTAGACCAAATTGAAGGGTTTTTTTTTTTCATGTCAGGAGCTACTTGAGAAACTGCAAGTAGCTTGTGGTGTGAGAGAATTGGCCGTCTGCAAGGATGTTGCCCAGGGACACACGGATATTTTGATGTTTTACCATCCTTGTGAGAGGCTTCTCTCATGTCCCCACATGGGGAGCTGGAGCGGACAGAGGGATCTCATCCGTGCTCTCCCCGGATTAGAACCTGCGACCTGTTGGTCTTCAGTCCTGCCGGCACGGGGGTTTAACCCATTGCACTAATGGGGGCTTCAAACTGAGTGTAGTATGGCCATTTTTCTTAGAAAAGGGGGTCACTAGTTATTCATGTGAAAGTTTCCCAAGTTTTAGAGCTTTCAACAGTACAGAAGGCCCCTTCCAACTCGATAACTGTGGAAATGTGATTGTTATACAGTACATCTGGAAGCACTTGAAAATTTGCCTTTCTTGCTTATAGCCAAGAATGCATTTAGGTGTGGTCTGAATCAATCCCTCAGATGGGAGCAATGGTGAGCCTGTTGCAGAAACACTTTGTTGTGAAACCAGAAGCAAAAGGCTGCTTTGCCAATCGACAGTGAACTACATGTACATTTTAACAAGTTTTAAGAAGCTGTTGTGCCAGCTTTAAGTGTGAGTCAAGAAGACACATCTGTAATGTGCTAAAATATTATTTTAAAGACCCACTGGGATGTGAACAAATACTTTTGTATAGCTGCCATCTGGAGACAGTTGGTAAGTCACTCCTTTTCCATTTCCATTATAAAAATGTTGGTAAGTCACTCCTTTTCCTTTTCCCTTATAAAAATGTTTCCAACCAGAACCTGAATGGAACAGTCAAGTCCAGGTAGTAAACTACACTGAAGAAGCCAGAGAGAGAGATGCCATGTGTCACCACTCCATTGGAATATATTGTTAAGGGTGACTAGCATGCCAAGTTATCTGGAAACCAAACCCTGTGAGAAACGGTGGAGGAAATTGATTATGTTTCACCTGGAAAGAACACAACAGAGGGAATATGAAATATCCCAAAAGGCTGTCAAGTGGAAGATGGAATAAATTTATTTTCTCTTACTCCAAGGAATAGGACCCAAATCAAGGAATTCAAACTAATTCTTTTGAATCTGTCTGTGGGTGAGGTTACAGCAACTTGAATAACTCTTTTCAAGTTCAGATTTAACCCAGAGTAGATGCATCACCATGACATGGCAGTTGCTACTGCCGCCACATTTGAGTTATGACAAAGCTTAAGGCTACAACTTTCATCCTGATGAGCTCAGACATATGCCGACTGTGGTCCACTTTGGTTGTCAATCCTGACTTATGGCAATGCTAAGACTCACCCAGGGCCCACCCAACTCTAAGGAACACCCAGGGGGTTTGCATGCTTCAATGCAGAATCTAACCCTGGTCTCCAGAGTCATAGTCCAAAGCTCAAACCTCTACACTATGCTGTTTGATTCTAATCAATTACATTGCTTTGGATTTGGCTGGTTGTTGTTGTTGTTGTTGTTGTTTTTGCTCCTAATTGATCAAATGTCTCTTTGATCCATCCAAGCCATGTAAAAGAGTGGAGATTTTAAAGTTGTAACTTTCCACGGAATCATTTTAATTGGAGTTTGGTTCGGGTCCAGGCTACTTAACTAACTGCATCTCTGCATATAAACCTGCACTGACACTGCGGCCATCGGAGGGGGCCCTGCTCTCGGTCCCACCCCTGACTCAAACATGGTTGGTGGGAACGAGAGTGGGGCCCTTCTCTGTGACTGTCCCCTCCCTCTGGAACTCTCTTCCTCCAGAACTAAGAACAGCTTCCTCACTCTTCGCCTTCAAGAAGCAATTAAAAACACATGTCTGTACACAGGCCTTCGTAGAGGAGGAGGATTAGCTTTTATTAATGTCTTATGCTTCTATTATACTTGTTGAGGCTGACTGAGAACATATTGCCCTAACACAGTCACGTTTTTATTTTTCACTTTTCATGTTGGTTTTATTATTTCACTAAGTTACTTATGAACCCTACTATTCGTTTTAACAATTACTGTGTTATTTGTGAATTTTTAATTGTTTGTTTTAATTGTTCTTTTACAACTGTTTATCTATATTTTGTTTTTGTCTTTGTAAACTGCCCTTCATCCCTTTGGGGAGAGGGGGCACATTATAAAGTTGTTGTTGTCGTTGCTGTTGTTGTTAGAGTATCTTGCAGACATTTAATAGTACATACTTCTTTTAATGGCGCTCCATGCAGTCATGCTGCCACATGACCTTGGAAGTGCCTACAACAACGGCGGCTCTTCAGCTTAGAAACGGGGATGAGCACCACACCCCTGAGTCGGACGCGACTGGACTTAATGTCAGGGGAAAACCTTTGAACCTACCTTCTTTTTAATGAATTCACGGGAGTGCTTCTGGAGTGCTAGCAAAGCAGTGTAAGTCAAACATTCTTCTATGGTGAGGTAGCTCAATAAGGTTTCATTCTGAAACAGAGGGTATGCAAAATGCAGCAACGTTACTTTCTACAGTAATAACCATCCAAACATTCACAGGCAGTCCCTGAGTTACAATCATTTAATTTACAAATTAATCATAGTTAATAAAGGAGGTGAGACCACAGGAAGTGTGAGAAATCTATCGCTCGAAAGGGAAATCTACTCCTGAAAGTTATCCTGTAGAAAAGGTGTCTCCACTGATGCTTTATTTCAAATCCTTGTTTCCATAACAGGCCGTTTTTTTTTTCAAAATTCAATGATCACAGGTACAGAAAGTGAGGTGAAATCCTCTAAACAGGGGCACAGACAGCAAAACATGTGTTTTCATTTATACATTTCTGTGCACATTTAACCCTAAAAAGATTAAACACTCCCCTCCCATTTTTCACATTTTCTCATTCAGAAAATTCTTATTGTCAAATTCTGAAAAAAGCAAAAACGTGGCACAGCTGGCTGGGAGTCAGCTGCATTAAGATCGCTACTGACCGAAAGGTCATGAGGTCAAAGCCAGCCCGGGTCAGAGTGAGCTTATGACCAATTTGTGTTGCTTGTTGTCAACCTTTGCAGCCAGAAAGACAGTTGCATCTGTCAAGTAGGACATTTAGGTACCACTTATGTGGGGAGGCTAATTTAACTAATTTACAAGGCCCTAAAAATCTCCAGCAAATATGCAAAGAATGAGAAAGTACTTCATCAGTGTCACAAATGGACGGTGAAGTGACAGCCCCCCTGGTGGCCAGAAGCTGGAATGATAAATAGCTTCTGAGTGTCTATCTATATATGTTGTGTATCTACAGCATTGAATGTTTGCCATGTATATCTACATTGTAATCTGCCCTGAGTTGCCTGCAGGGTGAGAAGGGCAGAATATAAATACTAAAAATAAATAAATAAATAAACAAAACTGCATTCAAGTTCAAGTACTTTATCAGTGTCACAAATGGACGGTGAAGTAACAGCTCCCCCGATGACCAGAATACCCTCATGAAAAGCTGGATTGTTAAATAGCCTCTGAGTGTCTGTCTATATATGTTGTGTGTCTATGGCATTGAAAGTTTGCCATGTATATGTACATTGTAATCTGCCCTGAGTTGCCTGCAGGGTTAGAAGGGCAGAATATAAATAAATAAATAAATAAATAAATAAATAAACAAAACTGCATTCAAGTTCATGTACTGATATATTTTGAAACGGTGGTATTAATACATTTGAATCAAAGTGCAAGCTGAATAAATTTCTCTTCTATCCTGAGATTATCATCAATGTCTGTGACAGACAACTACAAAACTGCATATGTAATGCCAAAAAAAGCAAAAGCAAAATCCAACCAACCTGGAGAACATAAGAAAAACAGTTCCGAAATTGCTCCTGTCTCAGCTCACGTCCATTGACATATACCTGACCAAGAAAGTTTGTCTTATGGTTCAGTCTTCCTGCCATGGCATCCAACAGTGTTGTTTTTCCAGATCCTAATACACATTGGGAAATTTTATATAGTGATATACCAAGTTCACAATAATAATAAAGAAAACAGCCACCAATTGCTTAAGGCTTATCATGCTCCACAGGACTGTCAGCATTTGAGCCACGCTTTGTTAGCTGCACTTTTAACAGCAGTTGGAGTTGCAGCACATGGCAGGTGCTAAAACATTTAAATACATACTGTGAAATGGTTTGCCTGCTGATTTCTGCAGTTTAAATCTCTGTTGAAGGCAAAGGAACCTGCAGTGCTTTTTTCTCCTAACTGGACAATTGGCATCCATGCAATCAGTTAACTTGTGAAAAATCCACACTTCGTAAGAAGCGCCAGTCCAGCTGTCATATGTTTCTATAGTTATAGTTACATCTCAAGTAAGTGGCACCTATAGAAATGACTATATTTCTAGAGGTGCCACTTATTTTGCCAAAGCTAAATTAGTATATTTTTGTGACCTTGTTGACAATGAGAGCACATCAAGTATATTACAGTCTTGAGCCTCAATCCAGTTCTTAAGACTTTATCACACCAGCCTGTTGTAGGGCAAAGGAGGAAAATCATGGCCACTCACTCAAGAAAGGATATTGAAAGCTATTAATGAGTATTTCCCATCAATGTAAAGGTGCGCTCTGCCAACAATTTAACTCCAGAGAGACAACAGGAGAACCCCAGTGTCTTGTAATAAGTATGGACTACAAGTATTATTATCCTATTGTAATTGTAATTTACCACCTCATGATAGTCTATAATTCCAATTATAATTGCTCTACAAAGATTCAGTGAGAATTTTGTAAGTCCACACCTATAAAAGTTTCAATTATTCAGTGAATTTGGAACTGAGAAAAGAACATAGGCTTTGTCTACAACTGTTAGTTGAAGTCAGTATCAAATGTGAACCTGATTAAGATTTTGATGGAAAATCACTAAGAGCAAATACCAGGAATCTTCAAATAGGAACAATTTCCGCTTGAAAATCCATCACACCAGTGGTGTCAGTCAGAGTCAGCAATACTGGCTACATGGCCCAGTTATATGAGTCTCACCCATACCTTTCAACTGGGACAACTGGGAGGTTTAGAAGCTTCATCCGCTTCAAAGAGCTAAAGGTAGACTGTTAACTGAAGTGGTTCCAGGGACCATACAACTTTCTTGTTTGAACAGTTCCACAGATTGCTGGTCCATTTCTCATTGGAATATATAGAGTCGCCATAAATTTTCCTCACCTCTGCCCAGTGTTGGAGATCTCATGCTGATAAGCTAAGGGCTATGGATCCTTCTATGGGATCTCCTTGACGATATCCAAAACAACCATAGGATCCACAGAATTGCCCTATAACTTAATTTTCTGTGCAGAAATATAGAGATACACTACTTACCAGAATTTCCCAAGATACCCATGAGCTGACCACTTTCAATATGAAATGAAACATCTTGGAGAATCTGTCTGTTCCACTTCTTACTGTATGATGGAATATTCCACCAAGGACCCACACGTTCCCTTTAGGAGGCAAAATAAAAATGTGATACATGGATACATGTATTATTACATGCCTTCAGATTGACTCCAACATATTTGGTTATCTTGGCAGCATTTTGCCAGAAGGAGTGTGCCATGCCGTTCTCTGAAGTTGACAAAGTATAACTATAGAATCATAGAATCATAGAATCAAAGAGTTGGAAGAGACCTCATGGGCCATCCAGTCCAACCCCCTGCCAAGAAGCAGGAATATTGCATTCAAATCACCCCTGACAGATGGCCATCCAGCCTCTGTTTAAAAGCTTCCAAAGAAGGAGCCTCCACCACACTCCGGGGCAGAGAGTTCCACTGCTGAACGGCTCTCAGTCAGGAAGTTCTTCCTCATGTTCAGATGGAATCTCCTCTCTTGTAGTTTGAAGCCATTGTTCCGCGTCCTAGTCTCCGTGTCCTGGCCCCTTCCACACAGCTGAATAAAATCCCACATTCTCTGCTTTGAACTGGAATATATGGTAGTGTGGACTCAGATAACCCAGTTCAAAGTAGATATTGTGGGATTTTCTGCCTTGATATTCTCTGTTATATGGCTGTGTGGAAGGGCCCTGAGATAGGTCTCCAAGGCTGAACAGGTATTTGAACACTAGTCTTCCAACACCCAACTGTTACACCACACCTTGCTATTGCCACATTATTCTTACCATCATCAACCAACCAACCAATCATTCAATCAATCAATCAATCGGTCATTATAGGATATAATCAGAAGTCAAGATCATTAAAAAAGCAGAGAAATAATTCAGCTCTAATGTAGGGCCCTTCCACACAGCCCTATATCCCAGAATATCAAGGCAGAAAACCCCACAATATCTGCTTTGAACTGGGTTATCTGAGTCTACACTCAGATAATATGGGATTTTCTGCTTTGATATTTTGGGATATAGGGCTGTGTGGAAGGGCCCCTACTCATTATTCCAGGTTGTGTAGATTAAGTCAATGCAAAATTTAAAAAAAAAATGAAATTCCTCAAAGATCTCCCTTCTACTTTACTTACCTGACAGCATAAGAGACGTTCAAAACACTGAGACAGTTGTTTGGTGTTACAGCCATCTGGCCGTGTTCTCCTAGTGAGCTTGAGTTATTCTTCGGCAACTTGATGCAGGCAATATAGATGGGGTTTCCAATGATTTCTCTGCCTCTCCTGCACTAAGCAGTGTAGATTAACTCTCAACAGCTCTTTAAGTATATGTATAAAAATAATCCTCTGCAATTGTGTGGTTGCTTCTTACTTTCAAAAATGAGGTGATAGGTCAGCCATAACTGCTATCTGATGAACCTTTAACCTGAGTTTCTTTTATAGCACAATAGTAGCCACAAAACTTCACAACTAGGTGTGGCTTAGGTGTTTTAGTCTGTATTGCTTTCTTCAAGTGAACTGGAGATGGTGATTGGACAGTGAGAAGAGAAGAAAGAAGAAAATTGGGAAGGGAGGTGGAAAATAAGAGTCACAGCAAAGCAGGACACGTTGAAAATGTTTCCATTGGAACATGTCTTGGGACAAAAGGAGGCTCAGAAGGTGAGTGAATTTTAATGCTGAACCCCAGAGCATGATCAGATAGGAAGTGATTTTATTAGGGATTTGCATATAAACATCAGACAATGAACATAAGTACAAAATCAATCAATAACATGTTATCAGCAAATGTCATATTTTAATTAGGGAAATAATGGAGTTTGTGTACAGACAGATGCATGAAAAGCTCTGGATTAGCACACCAGCGTGTTCATGAGTTTAAAGAAGCTACTGATGTTCTACAATACAGCTTTGTGACTTTCCCCAAGTCACCTCCTTGGCTACTGAAATTTAGATTGTAAACTTTTGGAGACCCATTCTTTTCACTGTTATCTTGAAAAGCACACTATACGTTTGTTGTTGTGTGCCTTTAAGTTGTTTCCAAATTATGATGATTCTAATGTAAACATAGCACAAGGTTATTTTTTCTTGGCAAATTTATTCAGAGGCATTTTGCCACTGCTTTCCTCTGAAGCGGAGAGAGAATGAACCTTGGTCTCACAAATAGGTTTGTCTCATGAATGCCATAAATTGGGGATTCCAGCAAGGATGTGAACCATGGTTTCCCAGACGGGTTTGCCTTCTACACTATCCCAGGTTCTGATCCCAGATGATCTGCTTATCCCAGATTATCTGACAGTTCAAAGCAGATAATCTGGTTTTTATATGGCAGTGCAGAAGGGGCTGTAGATACAGCCTAAGTCTCACCATAAGTTGGAAATGACTTGAATGCATACAAAAACAAACAACCAAGAGTTAGAGAAGGGGAAGTACGAAGAGGATACGTTTGGTGACAGCACCATATTATCTTGATTAAAATGATTCCAAAGAGCTCCAAAAGGATCTCTTCAAATTTGGAAAACGTATTTTATTGTAAACCATGCGTGACCTGTTATACACCTAGTCAAAAAAACAACAACCTACACATTGTAAGGGAGCATCTATATTGTCACACAGAGTGACTCCATTAGCCGCTTTGAGTCTCCTTGTGGAGAGAAAAAGCAAGGTACAAATAATAATTGTTATTATTATTATTATTTGAGTGACACAAAAACACAGTATGTCACAGCAAATAAGACTGTGCACCACTGCACCACTGAGGGCTCCCAACAATTAAGTTGGTGTCAAACTAAGGCTCACAGGTTGGATGCAGTCCTCTAAGGTCATTTATCCAGCCGCTGCCCTAAATTTGGGGCAACCCTAAGTCTAAAATGACTTGAAGGCACACAGCAACAACAATCCTAATTAACTTGACTATTTCATCAGCCAAAAGCAGGCCCACACTTCCCACTGAAATACTGGTAAGTTTACATTAATTAAAATTGTTATTTGTTTTAAATATTGTATTATTTATTGTGGGCTTCTTTTTTCTTGCACTACAAGTAAGGTATATGCAGTGTACATAGGAATTTGTTCATTTTTTTCCAAACTATAGTGCCCCCCCCCCCCAACACTCTGGGGAAGCATTAGCTGGCCCTCTGCTTTAAAAGTTTGAGAGTCCCTGGTTTAGATGCATGCCGGGATCATGATGATATACCAAAAGAAAAAGGGTTTGCTTCTGACCCGTTGTTATTATTTTCTATTTATTAACTTTAGTTATATTTTGCCTTTTTCACAAAACTGGGACTCAAGGCAGCCCAGTATTCTGTTAAAATACTCACTGCTTTGTAGTAGCTATAAAAGTAGGAGTAGGAAACAAATCGTACATTGGGGGCCATCAAGAAAATTATCAAAATACTTTTGTACACATCTGTGGTGCAGTCACAGAGAAAACACTGCGCATAGTTCTGATCAAGGGTGTAACCATGTCAGGCAGGAAATGTCTAGCATTCCAGAACAAGAGATGCTGGAAATGGTCCAAATCAAAAATTCCTGTATTTTTCTTTACATTCAATAGAAATGTTGTCTGCCCTTTGTTTGGATACATAAGCTGTATTTCTAAATGTTCCACTGAAATTTCGGCACTGCTAGAAATATGGAGACTGAAGGACCATTTTGTTGGTAGATGGAGCATTATTCCCATCTTGTCCTTCCATTCCAGTATAGTGACAGTTTGGTTCCCAGCATGGATGTGGGAAAGGCATACACAAAGGCCAACAAAATAATGACGTGGTTGAAATAAATCCCTTAGGTAGAAAGGCTGTAACACCTGGAACTCTTCCAGTGAGACTCTGTCGTAACTCCTGGTGGAAGCATACAGTCGAAATGTTTGGGGAATGTAGAAAAACCCTAGGGCAGTGTTTCTCAACCAGGGGGTTGGGACCCCTGAGGGGGTCGCGAGGGGGTGTCAGAGGGGTCGCCAAAGATCATCAGAAAATACAGTATTTTCTGTTGGGGATTCCATGTGGGAAGTTTGACCCAATTCTATCATTGGTGGGGTTCAGATTGTAGTGAATTATCAATCCCAACAACTACAACTCCCAAACGTCAAGGTCTATTTCCCCCAGACTCCACCAGTGCTCACATTTGGGCATAATGAGTATTTGTGTCAAGTTTGGTCCAGATCCAAACTTGACATTGTGTGAGTCCACAGTGCTCTCTGAATATAGGTGAACTACAACTCCCAAACTCAAGGTCAATGCCCACCAAACCCTTCCAGTGTTTTCTGTTGGCATGGGAGTCCTGTGTGCCCAATTTGATTCAATTCCATTTCTGGTGGAGTTCAGAATGCTCTTTGATTATAAGCAAACTATAAATCCCAGCAACTACAACTCCCAAATGACAAACCCAACCTCACCAGTATTCATATTTGGGAATATTGAGTATTTGTGCTAAATTTGTTCCAGTGAATGAAAATTTCATCCTACATATCAGATATTTACATTATGATTTATAATAGTAGTAAAATGACTGTTATGAAGTAGCAATTAAAACAATGTTATGGTTGGGGGTCACCACAACATGAGGAACTGTATTAAGGGGTCACAGCATTAGGAAGGTTGAGAACCACTGCCCTAGAGGACATATTTTGGGTTGTTGTAGGTTTTTTTTACGCTATATGGCCATGTTCTAGAGGCATTCTCTCCTAACGTTTCGCCTGCATCTATGGGAAGCATCCTCAGAGGTAGTGAGGACCTCACAACCTCTGAGGATGCTTGCCATTAATGCAGGCAAAATGTCAGGAGAGAATGCTTCTAGAACATGGCCATATAGGCCGAATAAAACCTACAGCAACCCAGTGATTCCAGCCATGATAGCCTTTGACAGGACATATTTTATCAGACATGGGTACGTATGGGACTTGCACTCTTCCAACCTTTGGAATGATCCCAAAATGCCAACTGTATGCCAGCGAATGCATCAAGCATCCAACGTATCATTAGCGTTTTATCATCTTCCCTTTTACTTTCTCGAGACTACATTTTAAGCTAGTGACATTCTAATTATGATTTCTACAGGCAAAGAGAAGTATTCAAGACAGTATTTTTTGCTCGGAAGACAACAGCCTGTATTTTACATATAATGGCAAATCAAATGTTCTAGAAGTTAGAGACCTCAGCTACCAGGTAAAGGGTAACATTGATTTATATTCATCTTGTTCTATCATAGCCTGAAGTTAGAGTGCTTGGTTAAAAACAAACTGCTTTAAATGTTCAAGCTGTTCTCCAAAGTGACAAGAAATATCCCTGAGTGACAGGTAATGTTTTGTAAATCTTTTACAGTTTAAATAGTTCGACCTGGGTCAGAAGGAAAGGGGACTCAGAGTGGGGAGGCGAGGAAGTATATTGGATCACTGCAGTGTTAGAAGGAAGAGATGGAGGTGCAAGGAAGAGATATGCACACAAAGATGTGCAAACTAGGGGTCAAACTAAATGATACAGGTAACACATGCACTGAAAGACATTTGCTTGTTTCAGCACAAGCTTTCACACTTCACCTCCCCTAGCTTGCAAATTATCTTGGTTTGTGATTTGTCATCAAGAAGTAAATCCAGGATGCTTTGCAAGCCAGAGTTTTCAGGCATGCTGAGTTTACACTGTCATATAACCCAGTTCAAAGCAGATAATCTGGATTTTATATGGTAGTATGGACAGGCTTCTGATTGTGTTGCTGGTTGCAGAATTTCGATTCTAGATAAGGCTAACCAGCCAGTATTATTTTAGATGGATTTAATTTTTAACTAATTTAATGTTTTATTTACATGTAATTATTTTATTTATTATGTTGTTTGAGGGGGCATCAAATCGTTGCCGGCTGAAAGCTGCCCCCAATACTGGGGGTTGAGAAGGGCAGGGTACAAATAATTGTAATAAATAAATACTACAGGTGAGGCCTTAGAGAGTTTTCCAAAAGGTGCATCTACACTGTAGAATTTATGCAGTTTAACACCACTTTAAATGTCATGGCACAATGCTATGGAATCAAGAGAGCTGTAGTCTTCTCTTCTCTGCCAAAGAGTGCAACTGCCTCCACCAAATTACAATTCCCAGATCCCATAATATAGAGCCATGGCAGTTAAACTGGTGTCAAACTGCATTAATTCTACAGTATAGAAGCACCATTGTACTCCGTCTCCTGGCTCAAACCTTGAAACCCACTGTAAAAAACAGTCAACGCTACTAAGCAATGGCGTTCTGTGATGTCGGCAAGCAGGATGCTACAGGATGATGAAACCAATCCCTTCCTACCATTGAATGGTGGCCACATCACGTGGCAACATCCTGTTTGCCAACACCACAGAGTTTCAGTATAGGAGACAGCTGACTGGCTTTTAAGATGGGTTTCAGGGACATTTGTGATTGTTGCCATGATGCTATAATCACAAATATGAATACAAAGCAATTACAAGACCGTAAGTCTTGCTAGCAACAAACTCTCTCATACAGCAATTCCCAAATGCTCGTCCTCCAGGACTTTTGGACCTCATCTCTCATAGCCAATGATCAGGGATTCTGAGAGGTGATGTCCAAAACCTGCATAATCAGATTTTGAGAAACACTGGTCTAACAGGATGACTAGTCATCATTTCTAAATGTACTTGTATTTAAAAATGCAGTTTGAATACTTGGGGAAGGGTCTGGAATACTTCTGGAGGAAATATTGATAGTCACTGTGGCTAAAATCGTGAAATTGTTTGAAGCTTTCCTTGGAAAGACATTGGTAGAATTTGAAGGTAGATGCAAGTACTATATCAACTAGACCACCATAACTCTTGACCTGTAAAAAATTACATTGGATGAATATTTCTAATTTTATTTTTGATTAGGTTAATGTGGCCTCACAGATTCCCTGGTATGAAAAACTGGCACACCTGGAAATGCCTTGGACACGTGCCACAGACAAGGAATCCCACATGGTAGCCATACGAAACATGAGCTTTAAAGTGAAAAGTGGGCAGATGCTAGCCCTCATAGAGAGCTCTGGTAAGGAATATGCCTGCTTCTGTGTCAACTGAGTTTTTGCAGTAGTCCTACATCACTTCTAGGAACCCAAGAATATTTGCCTGTCTTCTTACTCTTGACAAGAGTGTCTCAACACACCAGCCATGGTATTGCTCTGAGCCAGTGGTTCTCAACCTGTGGGTCCCCAGGTGTTTTGGCTTTCCAGAAATCCTAACAGCTGATAAACTGGCTGGGATTTCTGGGAATTTTATTTATTTATTTATTTATTTATTTATTTCATGCATTTCTACCCTGCTCTTCTCCCCCCGAAGGGGGACTCAAGGTGGCCTTGTGTCTGCTTATTACAATGGTTTGCGTATATAATGCAACCCAACCCATTATTACTTTACCTTTGAATAGACCTAGAAATTTGGATAAAATTTTCTGTCACTGTCCTGTCATATTTAGTTAGGCCATAGATCAGTGTTTCTCAACCTGGGGGTCGGGACCCCTGGAAGGGTCGCGAGGGGGTGTCAGAGGGGTCACCAAAGACCATCAGAAAACATAGTATTTTCTGTTGGTCATGGAGGTTCTGTGTGGGAAGTTTGGCCCAATTCCATTGTTGGTAAAGTTCAGAATGCTCTTTGATTGTAGGTGAACTATAAACCCCAGCAACTACAACTCCCAAATGTCAAGGTCTATTTTCCCCAAACCCCACTAGTGTTTACATTTGGGCATATTGAGAATTTGTGCCAAGTTTGGTCCAGATCCTCAGTGCTCTCTGGATGTAGGTGAACTACAACTTCCAAAACTCAAGGTCAATGCCCACCAAACCCTTCCAGTATTTTCTCTTGGTCATGAGAGTTCTGTGTGCCAACTTTGATTCAATTCCATCATTGGTGGAGTTCAGAATGCTCTTTGATTGTAGGTTAACTATAAATCCCAGCAACTACAATTCCCACAGGACAAAATCAATACCCTCCTCCAATCCCACCAGTATTTAAATTTGGGTGTATTGGGTCTTTGTGCTAAATTTGGTCCAGTGTATGAAAATACATCCTGCATATCAGATATTTACATTACTATTCATAACAGCAGCAAAATGAGAGTTATGAAGTAGCAATGAAACTAATTTTATGGTTGGGGGGTCACCATAACACGAGGAGGCGTATTAAGGGGTCGTGGCATTAGGAAGGTTGAGAACCACTGCCATAGATGATAATAATGATAATGATAACGCAGTAACTTGTACATAACTCTCCATTCAGACAGCAGAATTAGGAAGCAACTTGTATCTGTAAGAAGATATACCGGTCATTATTAATTTTACTTTTCGACATAATTTGTTGGGATCCAGTTACTTGTTTGATATATGTCTATGGCTGTAAATCAATCCTTTTCAGTGAAAATGAGAATGAGTTGCCTATTTACAATCACTGAGACTCAATCTGAGTTAAGAGGGAGAAGAAAGGATTAAGTGTGTGGCTGACTTGTGACATGGCTGAGAGAGATTGCTTTGTAATGTCTTCTGTATTTCCCCCAAATTTTCCAAGGTGCAATATCTGAAGTGGCCACAAGCGAGAGACAAATTTCTCTGCATTTTTCAGTGGCACTATAGTAGCAGTAAATTGTTCGTAACACATACCATAGCAAACTACCTTTCTTAAAAGCAGTAACACTACAAACGCTGTACCCTGCTGAAACACCAGAGTGATTAATAAAGTTGTTTTAAAAAGTAACATTCCAAGCTTTCTCATTCATAAAACCCATCTTTTTCACAACTTTTATTTCCAGTTTGTGGAAAGGCATCTTTGTTTGATCTGATAACATGTAGGGACCATGGAGGCAAAATTACATCTGGTGAAATTTTAATAAATGGAAAACCCACCACTCGCCAACTGGTGAAGAAATGTACTGCCCATGTTCGGGAAGATGACAGACTGCTCCCCAACCTGACAGTCAAGGAAACGTTATTGTTTATTGCAAAACTACGTCTCGCAAAGATTTCAGATTCAGAAAGGAAAAAAAGGGTAATTAGAACAAATATTAAGTTGTCAAGAATGTATTTAATAACATTAGCTAAGTGACTGTGTGAACTGTTGAATAAAGAAAATCTCATCAACTGAATGTGATTATTTGTCCTTTTTATCAGTGATGAAGCATGTTTTGCCTAACATGTCCTGTTTTTATATGCCTTGCTATTTTACTTGTTTGGTGCTCATAGCTAGAAAAATGTGAATTGGCATCTTGTCATCCAAATGCTTATCTGATTCTTGAAAGGAATGCAAGGAAAAATAAATGACAGGAGTTTTTAGAAACAGCTTGTTTTGAAAATATGTAAATGGCGACTGTCTATGTATTGTTGAAGTGGAGGATGGAAGTCTTTAACTTGTAACTCCCAGAATTACTCAGTCACCAGCTGAGGGATTCTGGTAGCTATTTCTAAAAAGTAACTTTTCCATGTTCCGTGTTGATGTTAGACCTAGCAATCTGGTATCTGATGCATAAATAAAGTTCAAGACACAGAATTATAAAGTTGGAAGGAACCACAAGGGCCATCTAATCCAACTCTCTGACATGCAAGAATAAATAACTAAACTAATAATGTGAGAAGGAAACCCAGCCTACCTCCAAAGATAGACAACTATCATCCTAGTTGACTACCATCCTAAAGACCTCCAAAGATGGACAGTTGACTAACAACTTATTCCACTATTGAACAGTTCTTACAGTAAAAAAGTCTTCCTAATGTTTGGGTTGAATCTTCCCTCTTGTAATTTGAATCAATTGGTTCATGTTCTAGTATCTGGAGCAGCAGAAAACAAGTTGGCCCCATCTATGTGACATCCCTTCAGATATTCAAACATGGCTATTTTATCTCCTCTCAATCTCCTCTTTTTGCATGGTAAACATGTGCAAAGCCCTACCATTCCTCATAAAGCTTGGCTCAAAGCAATACAGACAAGAGCCCTGCTGGTTCACAGCAGTGATTCAATGAGTCTTCCAGCTTCCCTTCCCACAGTGGCCTCTAGATCATTGCTACTCAACATGGTGGTTCCTGGACCAGTGTCAATCCATGAAGGATGTGCTGCCCTTCCTTGACATGTTTCGAGGAAGGAAGGAAAGAAGGAAGGAAGGAAGGAAGGAAGGAAGGAAGGAAGGAAGGAAGGAAGGAAAGGGATAGGAGGAAGAGAATTGTTCCCAATCAGCACAAACACAGTGCTGGTCCCTGGCCCATTGGGGAAAATAATAACTGTCACAACTCCAACATCAGACAGAAAACAAACAAACAAACAGAGAGAGATACACACATGTGATCTTTGATTTAATGCAACCAATGATAATCTTGGTTTGTCTCATAAATTCTGCAGGTTGAAGATGTTATAGCAGAACTGAGGTTACGGCAATGTGCAAATACGAGAGTAGGGAATGAGTATATCCGTGGCGTTTCTGGGGGAGAAAGGAGGAGAGTAAGCATCGGGGTCCAGTTGCTGTGGAATCCTGGTAAGAATAAAGAGGCAGGTTATAGGTTTGTTTTTTGTTTTTTGTTTTTTTTGTTTTGTTATGTCATGTCAGGAGTGACTTGAGAAACTGCAAGTTGCTTCTGGTGTGAGAGAATTGGCCGTCTGCAAGGACATTGCCCAGGGGATGCCCGGATGTTTTGATGTTTTTATCATCCTTGTAGGAGGCTTCTCTCATGTCTCCACATGAGGAGCTGGAGCTGATAGAGGGAGCTCATCCGCCTCTCTCCAGATTCAAACCTGCAACCTGTTGGTCTTCAGTCCTGCCGGCACAAGGGTTTAACCCACTGCGCCACTGTTACAGTACAAAGCATGGTTTCATATTGGAGGCCTAGATGTGTACTGATGACTCCCTTACGATGTTCACTCTCATGCATAATCAATGGAACTGGAGAGGACAATATCTTGGGGAACAGAGTCCATGAGTGCAACCTCCACCTTACATATCTGTAATCATGATAGGAAAATGCTCGCAATGAACTATTGTGCAGGTCAACGGTTCAACAAAGAGAAGCCTGCAGGCAAACATATATGGTAGTTCTTCAGCTAATTTTTGTAGTGTCCTACCTAATTTTGCGGAACCATTCCAAAGCCCTCAAATTTTCAAAAAATATTTTGTGGTGAAAAACTGGCCCCTAATGGCTTTAAGCACAAAAAATACATAGGATGGGGACAAACTTATGCTGTGGCAAACAGACATCCTTCACAATTTAAAGATCTCCTCTATTAAAAACATGATGTATCACAAGTCGAGTGGGAAATCTGCGAGTTTTATCAAATACAGACACAGACTGTGCAATTGCCTTGCAGACAATTTCATGGTCCAGAAGGTAGAAGAGGCAACAAGGGGATTGGCTACTCTTGATCTCATCCTAACAAATGCGGAGGACCTGATCGATGCGGTCGAAGTGGTCGGATCCTTAGGGGCAAGTGACCATGTGCTCCTGCAATTTGAGGTACAAAGGAAGGCCGAAACTAAGACAAGTCAAACCCGCATTTTGGACTTTAGGAGAGCTGATTTCCAAAAAATGAAGGAAACGCTGAGCAGCATTCCGTGGACACAGATACTAAAAGACAAGGGAGTTACGGATGGATGGGAATTTCTCAAGAGTGAAATACTCAAGGCGCAATTGCAAACCGTGCCAACAAAGAGAAAAAATAGGACAAGTGCAAAGAAGCCAGAATGGATGTCCAAAGAACTTCTAACTGTGCTTAGACACAAAAGAGACATGCACAAGAAGTGGAAAAAGGAAGAAATCACCAAAGAAGAATTCACCTGTAGGGAAAAGGTCCGCAAGGCTAAAGCAAAAAACGAGCTCAGACTTGCCAGGGACATTAAAAACAATAAAAAGGGCTTCTATTCTTATGTCAGTAGAAAAAGGAAAAACAAGGAGGCGATAGGACCTCTTCGAGGAGAAGATGGGGCAATGCTGACAGGGGATAGGGAAAAGGCAGAACTACTTAATGCCTTCTTTGCCTCGGTCTTCTCACAAAAAGAGGGTCTTCAACCTCAGCAAGATGGAGTGGATGAGGGATTGGAGGACATCCAACCCCAAATTGGGAAAGAAGTCGTCCAGGAATACCTGGCCGCTCTTAATGAGTTCAAGTCCCCAGGGCCAGATCAACTACACCCCAGAGTATTGAAGGAACTAGCGGAAGTCATTTCGGAACCATTGGCAACCATCTTTTGAGAGTTCTTGGAGAACGGGAGAAGTTCCAGCAGATTGGAGGAGGGCCAATGTGGTCCCAATCTTCAAGAAGGGAAAAAAGGATGACCCAAACAACTACCGTCCGGTCAGCCTCACGTCGATACCAGGCAAGATTCTGGAAAAGATTGTTAAGGAAGTGGTCTGCAAACACTTAGAAACAAATGCAGTCATTGCTAATAGTCAAACATGGATTTATCAAAAACAAGTCATGCCAGACTAATCTGATCTCTTTTTTCGATAGAGTTACAAGCTGGGTAGATGCGGGGAATGCCGTGGATGTAGCGTACCTGGATTTCAGTAAGGCCTTCGACAAGGTCCCCCATGACCTTCTGGCAAGGACACTAGTCCAATGTGGGCTAGGCAAAACTACGGTGAGGTGGATCTGTAATTGGTTAAGTGGACGAACACAGAGAGTGCTCACTAATGCTTTCTCTTCATCTTGGAAAGAAGTGACAAGTGGAGTGCCGCAGGGTTCCGTCCTGGGCCCGGTCCTGTTCAACATCTTTATTAACGACTTAGATGAAGGGCTAGAAGGCATGATCATCAAGTTTGCAGACGACACCAAATTGGGAGGGATAGCCAATAGTCCAGAGGACAGGAGCAGAATTCAAAACGATCTTGACAGATTAGAGAGATGGGCCAAAACTAACAAAATGAAGTTCAACAGTGACAAATGCAAGATACTCCACTTTGGCAGAAAAAATGAAATGCAAAGATACAGAATGGGGGACTCCTGGCTCGAGAGCAGTACGTGTGAAAAAGATCTTGGAGTCCTCGTGGACAACAAGTTAAACATGAGCCAACAATGTGATGTGGCGGCAAAAAAAGCCAATGGGATTTTGGCCTGCATCAATAGGAGCATAGTGTCTAGATCTAAGGAAGTAATGCTACCCCTCTATTCTGCTTTGGTTAGACCACATCTGGAATATGGTGTCCAATTCTGGGCACCACAATTCAAGAGAGATATTGACAAGCTGGAATGTGTCCAGAGGAGGGCGACTAAAATGATCAAGGGTCTGGAGAACAAGCCCTATGAGGAGCGGCTTAAGGAGCTGGGCATGTTTAGCCTGAAGAAGAGAAGGCTGAGAGGAGATATGATAGCCATGTCTAAATATGTGAGAGGAAGCCACAGGGAGGAGGGAGCAAGCTTGTTTTCTGCTTCCTTGGAGACTAGGACGCGGAACAATGGCTTCAAACTACAAGAGAGGAGATTCCATCTGAACATTAGGAAGACTTCCTGACTGTGAGAGCCGTTCAGCAGTGGAACTCTCTGCCCCGGAGTGTGGTGGAGGCTCCTTCTTTGAAGCTTTTAAACAGAGGCTGGATGGCCATCTGTCAGGGGTGCTTTGAATGCAATATTCCTGCTTCTTGGCAGGGGGTTGGACTGGATTGCCCCATGAGGTCTCTTCCAACTCTTTGATTCTATGATTCTAGGAGAATTTACTTCTATGAATTATTAATTTATTTTCATTTTTTGGCAGGAATTCTGATATTCAGTGACCCCACATCTGGATTGGACAGCTTTACTGCCCACAACCTAGTAATAACACTGTCCAGATTGGCCAGAGGAAACAGATTAGTCCTTATGTCAGTTCACCAGCCACGATCTGATATCTTCCAGCTTTTTGATTTGGTTCTCTTGATGACATCTGGCATCACAGTCTATTCTGGAGCAGCTCAGGATATGGTCCAATATTTCACACGAATAGGATATCCCTGTCCAACATACAGCAATCCTGCAGATTTCTATGGTTAGTATACTATTCTTGTTAGGACAATATCCTTTCTTTGAGCGTATTTGTTGGCTGACGGTCAGCAATGGTCAACTGATCTTTCCTAAGGGGAAGAACTGGAAATTTTATTCTAATTTTGTTCCGTATTCCACTCATTCTCTGTCACTTCATATGTTGACATATGAAGGCTTCTTTTAAATACATGTTTAAACACACTGTTCCAAAGAGGAGACAATTTTGAGGATATGTTTTGTAGGCAATTAAAAGAATGTAAGAGTTTGTTTGTTTGTTCATTAGGCGATCCCTCATTGTCCCAGTAAGATTGTGCTGTGGTACGTAGGTGACAGTGAAGCCGTATTATTGATCCACATGTTCTCCCACAGAGAGAACACCAGTTTCCAGGTGGAAGGCGGTCCTGGTCAGGGTTAGCTTGGTGTGCCTTCCTCTTGGCATGTTTCTCCCATTCATGCCTCTTCAAATTCCACAGTACTGCTGGTCATAGCTGACCTCCAGCTAGAATGCTCAAGAGCCACAGCTTCCCAGTTCTCTGTGTCTATGTCACAGTTTTTAAGGTTGGCTTTGAGCCCATTTTTAAATCTCTTTTCCTGTCCCCCAACTTTCCATTTTCCATTCTTGAGGTGGGAGTAGAGTAACTGCTTTGGTTAGGCATTCGGACAATGTGACTAGTCCAACAAAGTTGATGGCGTGAGAGCATCGCTTCAATGCTGGTGGTCTTCATTCTTCCAGCACGCTGACATTTGTCCACCTGTCTTCCCAAAAGATTTGCAGGATTTTTCAGAGGCAACACTAATGAAATTGTTCCTGAATGTAAGAGTAGTGTTTCCTCTGGCCTTAAAAGGAAAATGCAAAGGTAAAGCTACACATGTATCCAGTGGGTTAACTGAGTATGGTATGTGGATCTATGACTTTTCGTTGGGATTTCTCTTACAGTTGATTTGACAAGCATTGACAGGCATACTGAAGAAAGAGAGATGGAAAGTAAGCAGAGAGTTAGCTTGCTTGCTGCCATGTTCCATGAAAACATCAGACATTTTGCCGATCATATGTGGAGAAGAAGCCAACGGGATAGCATGACACCTGTTTCTGAATCCAGGTTAAATTTACTTATTAATTAATTAAATTTATATGCCACCTTTCTCCCAAAGTGGGGCTCGAGGCAAATCACAGGAAAAAATGACATAAGTTTTATCTGACAAAAAAACAAAAACAAAAAAAAACAAACAAAAAAAACCCCCTTTATACAAGTTAGGGATATTTCTGTATTTTCTTTCCTTTCACTTTTGGCAGCTCGCCACTCACTTTAGAAGAGACGGCAATTATGACCACCCATTCAGATGATCACTTGCCAGGATGGTTACAACAGTTCACTATTTTACTAAGGTAATGCTGCTTGAAGTATCTGTCTTGATGCTTCTCAAAGGTAAAACCCCTTTGGGGAGATAAAGCGGGGTAGTAATAATAATAATACCCAAATCATAATTGAGGTGGGCAGTGGGTGGAGCTCTAATTAATATCCCATTAAGCCAAGATGACTAAATTGACACTGTCATACTTTGGACAATATGATTGGTAAGATAGGTCCCATTACTTTCTAAACTTTGCTGATCCCAGTGTTGGCCTTCTGGTAAGCAACACCTTGTTTACAATAGAACCTCATCATTAAGTTTTGGCAATTTTCATTAAAGGCAGTAGGAAAAGAGTAAGATTGAATTACAGCTGGAAAGACTCAATTAAAAAAGCCCGGAGTTCGTAAGATAATAGGGTGATTGGAAGTTCTGTCGCCGTTCATTTTTTTTATTGTTTTATCTCTTTTTAAAACTTTTCTATTTTGTGAATTTTTAACGATGTGTTTTAATTGGTTCTGTGCTGCTTTAAGTCCTAATAATAATAATAATAATAATAATAATAATAATAATACCACATTTCTTCAATTCTAAAATTCCATTGATTATAAGATGCGCACTAATTTCAGTACAACCAACAGAATAATAATAATAAGCATTTGACAATACAACAATAATTATTATTTTGTATCAGAAGCATTTCATAAATTAGTATAAAATTGATAAAAATAGAAGGAGCACAGGCAGCTAAATATCCTTTGCCCAAAAACGGGCAACAGCAATGGCATTGTCTGTAGCTTCCAGCAACTCTACCTCTGCATGTGAGGCAGGGCACAGTAGACAAGATTCCAGATGTGGAGTTATCTGTTCTGTTCCACAGTCACACAAGGTGTGGGATTCTTTTAGGTAGTGCCATTTGCCAGGTTGTCTTTTGATCTGCCCACTCCACTCCTGAGTCTGTTCAGGGACTTCCAAGTTGCCCATTCTTGGTTTGCCCCTGGAGGCCCTCGTGGGGGGACGGGGACATCCAGTTGGGATTTCCTGGTTTAGCTGCCCACAGGGATACCCTTGAGTAAGACAAGGCTAGAGCTGTTGTTCTTATTAATTTTAGGTCTGCACCCCATGTGCTGCCAGTAAGTTTCTGCAGGATGCTATTGGGTGCAACTGCTTTGTGCTTGGTGTTCAAGCAGTGTTTCCTATATGCTAGCGTTCAATCTAAGATGACACCGAGATACTTAGGATGGAAACAATGTTCAAGCTCTTGACCTTCCCAGGTGACTTTCAATTTCCTGTTGGCTTCACAGTTGCGTAGATGGAAAGCACACACTACACAACAACAACAATAATATTCTCCTATGTTCCTAATTGTTAAATAACTTCAATTTTCTTCAATATAATGGTAACATTACTATTCAAATAAGGATAAAATGAGTAGGATCAGCAAAGACTAGGGTTGAAAGCCAAGCTGATGCACACTAATAAAGTACTGGAACTTAGCTTGGAAACTTACTTTTAAAGCTAATGAATACAATGGCACATTGAAACCACCCATATCCGAAGATGAACCCTATACGGGATGAACTAATAATGACTTCAATAATCAACATGTTATTATATTCATTTTTCTGAAAAGTAACTTTCCAGCCTTTGCTATCAAACTAGGCCCTTTCTACACTGCCATATAATCCAGATTATCAAATCAGATAATCCACATTATCTGTGTGAACTGGATTATCTGAGTCTAAACTGCCATATACTCCAGTTCAAAACAGAAAATCTGGATTTTATATGGCAGTGTAGTAGGGGCCTTAGTTAAGGTGATACGGAGCAATAGATTCAAGCCACAGGAAATGAGATTCCATCTGAACATTAGGAAGAACTTCCTGAAGGTAAGACCTGTTCAACAGTGGAGTCTTCCTCTCTGGAAGTTTTCAAACAGGCTGGATAGGCATCTATCGGGAGTGATTTATGTATTCCTGCTTGGCAGGGTGTTGGACTGAAGGGCCCTTGGGATTTCTCCAAATGCTGTCTTTCCATAAGTCTATGATTCTATGATAGGTTGGAAGAATTGGGCAAATTAAATTTTGTGCCCAAAGCACCATCATGTTCAATGAAAATTGCCAAAGCTTAATGGTGATATTCTATTGTAGACAAGATGTTGCTTACCAGAAGGCCAACACTGGGATCAGCCAAATTTAGAAAGTAATGGGACCTACAGAGGCTCTTTCAATGATATTGCCAAAGGAAAGAGTGGTGAATCAAATAGTTGTAAAGTACTTTGAGTGGCCTTCCTGGTTGCAAACATAATTACTTCCAAAATTCAAGGCATCTAGTTGCATTGTTTCATGTATTTATAATCCATGTTCTTTTTTCTCTCTTTGAAGTCGCCAGATCTCCAATGACTTCCGAGACCTTTCAGCACTACTCATCCGTGGATTTGAAACCCTTCTCATGTCTTTGTTAATTGGGTTCCTTTATTATGGCCATGGAAAAAGCAATCTGTCTATTCAGGACTTATCAGCTCTTCTGTTTATGATAGGAGCTTTGATTCCTTACATTGTGATTCTTGAAAGTATCACAAAATGTAAGTCTCTAGTATCACCACCAGTGCAAGTACATTAGGGACTGAAAAGCAACATTCAGTAGAAGATGGCTTAAAAGAATGAATAGCAGAGGGTCCATTCTAAGAAAAAAAATACTTTCTATTGTAGGTCATTCTGAAAGACCGGTGCTTTATCAAGAATTTGAAGATGGATTATATTCAGTTACTTCCTATGTCTCGGCTAAGGTAATTGTCAGCTCTTGTAAGATCGGCAGTTTTCCTCTGAAATGCAGAAAACATGAAAGCACAAGAGGGACACAGGGAGCCAGAGGTGTTTTATACGTGGAGCTATTTGTTCATTTTGTATTTTTATGGCATTGAATGTTTGCTGTGTGTGAAAAGTTTTTAGTGTAAATGAACATTGCAATTCTGAAATGGTTCTGCAAAAAAGAAAGAGAAATTGGGATTATAGTGTTTTTAGAAACAATGTTATTATAGGAGAAGAATCATAAAATCATAGAATCATAGAGTTGGAAGAGACCTCATGGGCCATTTAGTCCAACCCCCTGTCAAGAAGCAGGAAAATCGCATTTAAAGCACCCCCGACAGATGTCCATCCAGACTCTGCTTAAAAGCCTCCAAAGAAGGAGCCTCCACTACACTCTGGAGCAGAGAATTCCACTGATGAACAGCTCACACCATTAGGAAGATCTTGCTAATGTTCATTCTTGTAGTTTGAAGCCATTGTTCCACACCCTAGTCTCCAGGGCAGCAGAAAACAAGCCTGTTCCCTCCTCCCTATGACTTCCCCTCACATATATATATGTGGCCATCATGTCTCCTCTCAGCCTTCCCCAGGCTAAATAAACCCAGCTCTTTAAGCCGCTCCACATAGGACTTGTTCTCCAGATCCTTGATCATTTTAGTCACCCTCCTCTGGAGATATTCCAACTTGTCAACATCTCCCTTAAATTGTGATGCCCAGAATTGGACAAGGTATCCCAAGGCAGAATAGAGGGGTAGCATTACTTCCCTGCATCTAGAGACTATACTCCTAATCTCCTATTGATGTAGGCCAAAATTCCATTGGCTTTTTTAGCCGCTGCATCACATTTTTGCTCATGTTTAACTTATTGTCCATGAGGACGCCAAGGACTTTTTCACACGTACTGCTCTCGACCCAGGCATTGTCCCCCATTCTATATCTTTGCATTTAATTTTTTCTGCCTGAGTGAAATATCTTGCTTTTGTTCCTGTTGAAATTTATTTTGTTAGTTTTGGCCCATCTCTCTAATCTGTTAAGATCATTTTGAATTCTTCTCCTATCCTCTGGAATATTACCTATCCCTCCCAATTTGGTGTCATAAAGTCCTTAGAGATATAAAATCCAGTTTTCTGTGGGGTCCACACAGAGAATTAGAACTTAGAAAAGTTATTTTTGGACCACAGTTGTCACAATCTTTTGGTCCAGAAAGTTACTTTTTGGACCACAATTGTCAAAATCTCCTTGCCTGTTAAGATTTCTCAGTGTTCATGATGTTTCCTTTCTCAAACAGATTTTAGGAGAACTTCCTGAACAATGCTTCGTTGTCATCGTTTATGGGATTCCCATTTACTGGCTGGCAAACCTCATCCCTGATCCAGAACATTTCTTTCTGAACTTGTTGCTCATTATGCTTCTGACTTACTGCGCCCGGATCATGGCCATGTGGATATCTGCATTGCTGCCAACATTGCAAATCTCAGCTTTTGTTGGCAATGCATTGTATACAACATTCTTTCTGAGTGGAGGTTTCTTGATAAGCTTGGAAAACCTATGGATAGGTGAGCTGGAGATGTTAGATACACAAACAGGGTATCAGTAGGCAAAGTAAGACCGCCATCTCAGGCAGCAGGTTTTGAGCATCATAAAAGGGCGTCCAGTTGCTTATTCTGTACTTGCAAGTTCCTTGAGGGATTTCACTAGGAAAAGTGCTTGGGGAATTTTTGGGGGGCAATATAAGGGACTGTAGTGCAGGGGGTCAAACTCATTTTCATCTATGGCCATATCAGCCTTATGGTTGCCTCAAAGCATTGTTGAATCTACATACGGATAATTCATTGATATAGAAGGCCAACAATATATTTTTTGATCCCCTGGTGGCGCAGCGGGTTAAACTTCTGAGCTGCTGAACTTGTTGGCCAAAATGTCAGTGGTTCAAATCTAGGGAGCAGGGTGAGCTCCCACTGTTAGCCCCAGCTTCTAGCAACCTAACAGTTTGAAAACACGCACATGTGAGTAGATCAATAGGTACCGCTTCTGTGGGAAGGTAACTGTGCTCCATGCAGTCATGCTGGCCACATGACCTTGGAGGCATCTACGGACAACGCCGGCTCCTTGGCTTAGAAATGGAGATGAGTACCACCCCCCAGAGTTGGATATGACTAGACTTAATGTCAAAGGGAAGCCTTACATAGTATTTACCCAATTTGGGTTCCCCAGATGTTACTGAATAACACCCACCACTTTTGATTATTTGCCATGGTGACTGAGGATAATAGAAATTGCAACCCAATCGCACTTGTAGCTCTGAGGTTGGGGACAGGTTAAAGGTCATTTTGAAGTCAGATATCTTATCCACAAGCCTTCTATCTAAATTCAAACCCCACTATCCTGACTAAACAAAACAAACTGCAGCCTTCCAGATGTTACTATATCACAACTCCCATCAGCTCTAATAATCTGTGATGATGAGCAATACAGAAGTTGTAGTCCAGCATCTGGAGAGCCAAATAAAATGACATGGCAGCCTGGATTTGGCCTGTGGACCTTGAGTTTGACACATGTAGCGGATCTCTTAAGCACAGCACAACTTCCCAGAGTTAGATGGCCTATGTTAGATGTTCCCGACTTATCTTGGCATTTTGTATTGAATTATGTCCTTTCTGTCTCTGTTTCCAGTTCCATTGTGGCTTTCTAAAGTCAGTTTTGTCAGATGGAGTTTTGAAGGATTAATGCAAATTCAATTGAAAGGAGTGACTTACCCTATGACGTCTGGAAATGTGACTTACCCAATTTCTGGATCACTTGTAAGTCTAATTATTTCTAGTTACATTTATTACATAATTTTAATATAGTTTGTCAGATATGATGGATGGATGGATGGATGGATAAGAATCATTTTTACTCATAACACTAATGCATTATATGCTACAATATTCCGATTTGCATAGATTTACACTTATAGACTTCATTCCAAATGAACTGGATTATATGGCAGTGTAGACTCATATAATCCAGTTCAAAGGAGATAATGTGGATTATCTGCTTTGATAACTCTGGATTATATGATAGTGTAGAAAGGGCTTATGTTTCCTCTTTTCACAGACTTTCCTCTTTTCACAGTACAAATAATATGGAAGGTAAAGCATCTCATGACTTGGGGTGCATCTACAGTGTAAAATTAATGCAGATTGATACCACTTTATCTGCTATGGAATCCTGGGATCTGTGGTTTGGTGAGGCATCGGCACTCTTTGGAAACCTTGTAAAACTACAACCCCAGGATTCCATCACATTGAGCCATGGCAGTTAAGGTGGTATAAAACTGCATTAATTCTATAGTGTAGATGCAACCCAAGTCATAAGATGCTTTACCGTACACATTATTTGTGCTCATGTGTGCTTCACTATAACCATGTCTGTGAAAAGAGGAAATGTAAGCCCCTTCTACACTATTGTATAATCCAGAATTATCAAAGTAGATAATCCATATTATCTGCTTTGAACTGAATTGTATGAGTCTGCACTGCCATATAATCCAGTTCAAAGCAGATAATCTGGATTTTATTTGGCAGTGTAGAAGGGGCAGGAAGCTCTCCTTCTCTCCACATACTTTCTGGCTTTGTTTAGTGAAGAAAACAATCAATCCCTTCACCACACCTCGGCAATGAATTTAATGGAAAACAGTGTTTAGACGTTGTGTCCCAAATGATGTGCTCGTCAAAAGGAGTGTCATGGTTCTTGTTACACCTGACAGTCGCAACCAAAGATGCGCTTACCTGGAAAGGTATAGATAGCTTCCACAAACAATAGACTGTGAAGGGAAAGCAAGCAAAACCTGGTTGAGAAAACAACTCTCTTTCCTTGTGGAACAGCATCCCAAAGAGATTTTTAACAGAAGGCTGTGATAATTAGAAAGTTGGAGCCCCTGATGGAGCAATGGGCTAAACCCTTGTGCCGGCAGGAATGAAGACCGACAGGTCGCAGGTTCGAATCCTGGGAGAGTGTGGATGAGCTCCCTCTGCCAGTTCCAGCTCCCCATGCAGGGACATGAGAGAAACCTCCCACAAGGATGGTAAAACATCAAAACATCCGGGTGTCACCTGGGCAGCATCCTTGCAGATGGCTAATTCTCTCACACCAGAAGCGACTTGCAGTTTCTCAAGTTGCTCCTGACATGAAGGGAAAAAAAAAGAAAGTTAATTCATAATTATAACCAGAGAGTCAAAAAGGCTGCCCATAAAGCGTAGTTTGTTTAAAATTAAGAAGTAAACAGTCATGGACTAAAATGAAACATCTATCCGCTTTTGTATCCTTGGTTCTGTTGAAATGGTGTTTGTTGTAACACAAAGAAAACATGCTATTTTCAAGATAAGAGTTTTATGTTTATGCTCATTTAGTTAAAATTCATAAATAAGGAAGTAACATGTCTTTAATTGAATTATTTATTTATCGTGTCAGAAGTGAGTTGAGGGTACAGTTATAATGTATTTAAAAACACAAATAAAGTTAAAAACTTGGCATTATACTAATTTCCTGTGACCAGAAGCTGGCCACTTGGAGTGCCTCTGGTGTGGCTGTAAGAAGGTCCTCCATTGTGCATGCGGCAGTGCTCAGGCCACATGCACAATGTAGTAAGTGGCCTGTGATTTACTGTTCTCCACGTTTGCATGTTGTGGACTCCACTTTGTGGCCCCATTTCTTAAGGTTGGTTCTGCATCTCGTGGTGCCAGAGCGCAGTCTGTTCAGCACCTTCCAAGTTGCCCAGTCTTCTGTGTGCCCAGGGGGGAGTCTCTCATTTGGTATCAGCCATTGGTTGAGGTTCTGGGTTTGAGCCTGCCACTTTTGGACTCTCGCTTGCTGAAGTGTTCCTGTGAGCATCTCTGTAGATCTTAGAAAGCTATTTCTTGATTTAAGGTGTTGGTGTGCTAGCTGATATCCTAACAGAAGATGGGCTGGAGATGTTACTGCCTTGGTCCTTTCATTACTGGCTGCTATTTCCTGATGGATATCGGGTGGTGCAATACCAGCTAAACAGTATAATTTCTCCAATGGTGTGGGGCGTAGACATTTTGTGTCTCATTAAGCCACATCCACTGTTTTAACGTGGTGAGATGTGTTAGTAGCAAAACACAAGGGCAGACATCTTCACTGTATTGTCGAAGGCTTTCATGGTTGGAATCACTGGGTTGTTGTAGTTTTTTCGAGCTATATGGCCATGTTCTAGAAGCATTCTCTCCTGACATTTTGCCTGTATCTAGGGCAAGCATCCTCAGAGGTTGTGAGGTCTCTGAGGATGCCTTCACATTCACACCTAGCTCCAGCTGACAAGAGTCCTTTGTCTCACCCTGGTCATTCCACAAATATATAAACCCTTTTTCCTAGTTCCAACAGACCTCACTACCTCTGAGGATGCTTGCCATAGATGCAGGCGAAACGTCAGGAGACAATGCCTTTAGATCATGGCCATATAGCCTGAAAAAACCCACAACAACCTAGTGTCTTCACTGTCTTTTTCTAACCATTGATAGTGCAATATCTGTGTTCACAGGTACTCCAAACAATGGGCTTAGATTCGTATCCCCTCTACGCAATTTATCTCATCTTGTTTGGGATGACCACGGGCTTCTTGGTTTTGTATTATTTATCACTGCGGTTCATCAAGCAGAAATCAAATCAAGACTGGTAGAAGCATTGCAGGAAGGAGAAGGACAACGGGAGAATGAAGGAAGAGATATGAAACGTCAGATCTAACTCTCAGCACGAAAGCAGCACTTTAAAATGTTTCATAAATACAATCCATTTTTATAGATGCATTAATAGGAAGAGGTAAATTGTGTGATAATTACTCTGAGTTGTAGATCCAGCATGGTATAGTGGTTTGAGTTTTGGTCCAAGACATTGGGGAGCATGGTTTGAATCCTTACTTGGCCATAGAAACCCATTGGGTGACCTTGAGAAACGTCACACTCTCTCAGCCTCAGAAGAAAGCCAAGGCAAATCTAGACAAATTTGGTCAACCCCCCCCCCCCCCCCCCCCCCTCTTATGATAGGGTTTGCCTTATGGTTGCCATAATTTGGAAACAACTTGAAGGCACACAACTCTCAATTGTGCAATACTTTAGCAAAACCACCAGATGGCAGCAAAGTACAGCTGGATGAATGCTGAATCCTTCTCTCCTTTTTGGCACATTCTTCTTGTAGTTGAGGAAGAAACTGGATTTTCAGCCAAGACTTCAGTATTATATTACATAGTTATGATATGACAATGGTTAGATCCATGCAGCCTGCATATAAAAGTACATTTCAAAGACTGGGATATTATTCTATGAGCCTTCCAATAAGCTATGAACAAATGAAAGTCCTGCATAAATTAACTGCACCAGAGAATACTAACAATTAATATGCCTATGCCTTATCTAATTAATAGACCTTATTTTTTTTGTATAGCTTTTGAATAACACAGAGAATTAAAACAGAACCATAGACCTCTTTAAATACAATCTAAGGGTAAAGTATTCTTCCTCACAAAGTTGTAGCCTGGAGAAGAATGCTCTATAATAAGGTTTTATTTGAAAAGGACTAATGTGTAGCCTGGATTTCTATTGCTTTTATTTAGTTGTTTTCGAGGGTTTTAAAATTCACAAAACTGGATTTTAATGGGCTAAATCCAGCTGTTATCTTTAAATAGAGTTGAACAATTATAGCAACAAAGTCAGCACTTGCCTAGGTTCCCATGAATTTTTTTTTCCATGTCAGGAGTGACTTGAGAAACTGCAAGTCGCATCTGGTGTAAGAGAATTGGCCGTCTGCAAGGACGTTGCCCAGGGGACCTCCGGATGTTTGATGTTTTACCATCTTTGTGGGAGGCTTTTCTCATGTCCCCGCATGGGGAGCTGGAGCTGACAGAGGGAGCTCATCCACATTCTCCCTAGATTCAAACCTGTGACCTGTCGGTCTTCAGTCCTGCCGGCACAAGGGCTTAACCCACTGCACCACAGGGGGCTCCCAAGTCTGAATGAATGATTCTAACCATTCGGTTGGGACTAATTAAGTTTAGTGCACTATATCCTCATTTTCCCTTCCAAGGTGGACTTTGAAACCGTCAAAAACTTTCAGTTGCGCCATTATCAAACTTCAAGAGATAAACAAAATGTGGACAAAGGAGAGGAAAGAATGAGGATGTAATTGTCTTACACACAATTGGACAATAAAGTTCAAAACTGATGCTCTTAAAGTCTCCTGTATTTACTTCTCAAAATTAAAGACATACATTGAGGTTCACTATGTCTTGTAGAAACCACAATGGCATTAGATTAGTGCTGGCTTTAGTCTATAAAGCCCTAAATGATTCTGTCCCAACTTACCTGTCCAAACGTATCTCCCCTTGTGAACCATCTCAGAGATTAAGATAGTCTGGGGAGTCCTTGCTCTTGGCCCCGTCTTCCTTGCAAGTGTGATTGGTGGGAATGAGAGACAGGGCCTTCTCAGTGGTGGCCCCTTGGCTGTGGAACTCCCTCCCTAATGACATTAGATCAGACTCCTCCCTCCTAGACTTCAGAAGGAAAGTAAAAACTTTGCTCTGGGATCAGGCTTTTGGAGAACAGCGCAGTGCAATAATAAATTTGGAATATGTGCAATGGTTATGGAACGTCTTGGACTACGATTATGGATGGCATGATTTTAGAATTGAATGAAATGTTTTTAAATGCTTAATATGTGTTAATTTTAATTTTATCTTAATGTTATTGGAATGTTATGTGTTTTAAGGCATTGAATAATTGCCTTTATATAAGCCGCCTTGACTCCCCTTCGGGGTGGAAAAAGGTGGGGTATAAATAGGGTAAATAAATAAAATAAATTAATTTGCTTATTTGTAATGTACATGCAAACACTGCTGATGCTATTAAAATAATTGTAATGGTGCAATGGGTTAAACCGCTGAGCTGCTGAACTTGCTGACTGACTAGACTTAAGGTCAGGGGAAACCTTTACCTTTACCTTTATATTTATTAAAGTACCCATGAGACAATAGTGCACACATATATGGGTTGCTAGCTATGGGTCGTCACATGGGCAGTGGATATGGATTCAGCCATTCTAACTCAAGGTCAGAGGCAGTTGAGCACTTCGGCAGCTGTATCCATGAGCAACCATATTTAGCGTCCACTGCTCACCCCGGTGCCCCTGGTGATACAGTGGGTTAAACGCTGAGCTGATGAACTTGATGATTGGAAGGTAAGCGGTTTGAATCTGGGGAGCAGGGTGAGCTCCCACTGTTAGGCCCAGCTTCTGCCAACCTAGCAGTTTGAAAACATGCAAATGTGAGTAGATAAATAGGTACTGCTCCAACAGGAAAATAACTGCACTCCCTGCAGTCATGGTAGCCACATGAACTTGGAGGCATCTAAGAACAACGCTGGCTCTTCAGCTTAGAAATGGAGATGAGCACCACCCCCAAGAGTCGGACACGACTAGACTTAATGTCAAGGGGAAACCTTTACCTTTACCTTTACCTGCTCACCCCATATAGGGAAGGGCTAGAAAAGATGCCCTAAACAATCTGCCTGTCTTATGCCTGACTGGACTGCAGGGTCCAGAAGGATCACTACCCTGCAGCCAAAAAGACTAATGCAAGAACGAAAAATTGAATGACACTGAACAGCAAAAAAGATTTAAAGATGGGCTTAAAGCTAACCTTTAAAAAATGTGGAATAAACACTGAAGATTGGGAACTCTGACCTCTAGAGTTCTATCTGGAGGTCAACTGTTACCAACAGTGTTGTGGGTTTTGAAGAGGCTCAAATGGAGGGCAAAAGGGAGAAACATGCCAAGAAGAAGGCGTGTCAAGCCACCTCTGCTTGGGACTGCCTTTCATCTGAAAATCTATGTCTCAACTGTAAAAGAGTACGCAGATCCAGAATAGGTCACTACAGTCATTTTTGGACCCACCACCAAGACTCTCCCCTTGAAAGACAATCACACTTGACCACGAGATAAATAGATAGCTAATGTGATATTATTATTGTTAAATGCTATCAAGATAAAATTGACTCTTGATGACCTTATGAACGAGAGACCTTCAACCACCTGTCATCAAGAGTCCTTACGATGGCTTCTTTGATTGGGTCCATATTTTCCTACTGCTTCTCACTTTACCAAGCACTACTATCTCTTGTACTGTTTCTTAAACTGTGGGTCCTAACTCCAAATTGGGTCCCCTCAGCAAAATGTGGGTTCCTGAAAAATTTGGGAACAGTGAAAGGTTTCTGAATGTCACCTAGTGACTGTTTTAGCTGTTTACACAGATCTGTTGTGCAGTGTTTACAGTGGGCTCTGCAAAAGATGCTTCAGCTGTACTTCATAAAAGGCGAAATCACAAATCAGCCTGTTTAGCAAGACTTCCAAATGCTGATTTGTAATAATAATAATAATCATGATCATGATCATGATCATCATCATCATCATCATCATCATCTTTATTTCTACCCCGCCATCATCTCCCCGATGGGGACTCAGAGCGGCTTACATGGGGCCAAGCCCGGACAACATAGTACAGCAATAAAATCAAAACATATACAACAGACAACAACAACATTATCAAAGTGACACTAAAAAGGAAAAAAAATCATAAAATAAACATTCCAATAAACACAATCACGGTAGTGATGACAATGGGCGGGCCACATATTCAGGATAACAACAGTTAACAAACTATGATGAGATAAAATAGGAGCAAGACGTTTATATGGAACTCATAAAACACACAGAGTCGTGAGGCTGAACATCCTATTTGGTGGCCACGAACTCCATTAGCAGAAAACGTTGAGGGGTGCAAAAATATCATGCTGTGCACCTACTCACCAAAGGCGCAGCGGAAAAGCCAGGTTTTGAGGTTCTTTTTAAACGTTTCTAGTGAAGAGGCTTTCCTGATCTCCCCAGGTTAGGAGTTCCAAAGTCGGGGGGACAGCAAATGTTTTATTTTTATGCCTATTTTATATATCTATCTATCCATGGTCACAATTTCTTGGGTCAAAAGTGGTTGTGAGTGGAAATGATTTAAGGAGCTCTGGTTTATTACAATGAATTATGTTGTCTCATGATGTGCCCGAAAGTATGAACACTTTGATTATTTTGACTTCTAGGTAGAGTTCTAGAACCCAACAATTAGTCATTTTGGCAATCCATGGTATTTGTAGAGCTTTCCTCCAGAATCACATTGGAATATGCTGTGTTAAACCACTGGATGAATAATTTGATTAATTTTCTCCCTCCTGCCAGTTGTCTTTGGAAACTATGTAGTAGTCTCCTACCCAACCCCCAGTTTAATTCTATAGTGGAGATGCACCCATAGAAACCATCATGAAAGAATCTTTTCCAGGATCCAGGTGGTTTTTTTTCCAGTCATATGATAACTGTGCTCCTGGCTTTTGCAGCATGGACATAAAATTTAGATTTGAGAGGAACCTAAATGAAGCAAGCACAGATGCAACTCCTCATTAGAAGAGGCAAAACATGGAACTTATGAATTGAGAATTGGCTTGGGAAACAGTGGGGTTTGTCAGGAACAAAATCCCAACCCAGAAATACTTGCTTTTGATTCCTGAAGTGGAGCTACAAAGTGGAGTCCACAACATGCGAGTGTGGAGAAGAGAAAACCACAAACCACTATTACAATGCAGCCTGAGCCCTGCCACATGCACAATGGAGGACCTCCTCACAGCAACACCAGAGGCACTCCAAGTGGCCAGCTTCTGGTCAAAGGACATTTAGCATAATGCCAAGTTTTTAAACTTTGTGTTTTGAAATACATGTTAACCGTACCCTCAACTCGCTTCTGACA